CCCGCCATCCCATCCCCCATCCATTCCCCAGGGAGGGGAGGCCTTCCATGAGGGATCATCAGTCAGTCAAATCATTTGGGGTGGGGTCTAGCCCTAGCCCCCCCCCCAGGCTAAGGGAGTAACCCTCCATGGGGAATGGGCTCCTGAAGTCTGTTCCTGCATCCTGGCTCCATTGTCGGAGGCCCCATGGACGACAACAGCCCAGGCCTCCTAACTTCATGTGTGCAGCTGCCCAGCTATGTCCTTATAGTTGTCTACTATTTCTCATTCTTTCAAAACAAGTGCTTGCATGTACTTGATTACATGTCCTCTTTCCCCTTCCTGCCTGCCACCCTCCTGAAGGAGACCTTTGTCACCTGTTTATCCCAGGTCCTATTTAGTGCTTGGTACTCAGCATATAAACAATGAATACTTGATATGACAATGAATGACTGGTATTCTCTGGGAACTAGGAAAGACGGATAAAATAAATTACACACTGAGTGACTCAACCATTACTCAAAAAAGGAGATAAAGCACAGAAATTATTCTAATCAGTACATAATCCATTTTCCCTTTCTGCTTCTAGAAAGCAGTTTTCAATTGCAAGTTCTAAAATACTGTTCAATTTAGATACTAATATCAAGTGTCAAACAAGTTTAAAATGTAACTCGAAGTACAAAATAGCTTATTTACCCAGTATACTTTTCCCCTTAATTTAAATGTTGGCATTGTCTAGCATACCCAGATGTTTATATCATTACTTTTAACCATTTATGGAAATTCAGAACATTGCATCTGGTACTTCTTATATGTTTCCTCTGAAACCGCCACTTCTGCCAAAAACATCTATAAAGAACTTTCTCAAAAGATCTGGGTAACAAAGCGTCTGGGAATGTATTTGGCTTATGTTCAACAGGACATTATATGTTTTCTTGTATAAATCATGTCCTAGAAAATGGAATGTCTTATTTGAAATAAAAACTCAGGCACACTCAGCATCATAAAGGTAGTTCCATGTGAAACATTTCAAGCTCCTTTTGTCTCGGTAGCTTTAAAACATGTTTTTATGCTTCATATATTACAGTAACTTTTAATGAACTCATTTTATACATACTTCTAGACTTTCTTTTTAAAAGTATTCTAAGGAAAAGTTCCATTTTCAACTCATACAAGACATTTTAAAAAATAGTCACTGTTGTTCTTTAGTTGGTTGCAAGAATAAAAGCTGGAGAAGGGGTGAGGGTCCCAAGTGAGCGGGGTCCTCGGTGAGTGGGAGAGCATAGCAGGTTCCATGGCCGGTGAGGGTGACGAGGCGGGAGGGAATAACACGCTGGGCAGATAGAGCTTGAATGAGGAGTTTATTTAGAAAGGGCAGTGAGGGAGAAGGGAAGAGACTTAGAGGCACCAGGAACAGGAGAGGAGGGGGGAGAAAAAAGGGGGAGAGAAGAAGAAGAAGGGGTAGCTGGTAGCCAACCAGAAAACAGAAGAGAGCAAAAGAGACCGTAAGTGGGCAGGAGTCTGACTTTTAAAGGGGTCCTTTACACCTGCCTGCAGACTAGTACTCATGGAACCCTCGGCTGACCCGAGTACTGCCTGAGTGCATTCTGCCAGCGTAATGTCTGACTCCTTACAGTCACTATTTTTAAAAATTAGTTACAAAAGTCTTTAAGATTCAAGTATAGGGCTCGGGATGCAGCTGACTTTCCCAGCATGCACAAGACCCTGGGATCTATCCCTAGCACAGGAAATAGGGAACACACAAGCATCACCTGGCAGGTAGAGAAAAAGATGTTCCTCACACTAGAATTAAATTTTTATTTCTTATGAAATCTTACTTTTATTTGCATACCACAACTCTACTTTTTAATATTAATTACCAAATCAAAAACTACCTTATACTTTCCATTTCAAATTATCTAATCATTATCATTTAAGATGGAATTTATTAAGAGCAATTAAGGAAGTGGAGAAAGAAAGGAAAACACGCACTTGCATACATAATAATGTATGTATCTTTGAATGGCAGCTGTACTACGTTTACACAAATGATATTTTCTCACCAACAACAAGTATACAGGAATTCTCAATCTGATGAACTAAGAATAAAGACACTGTTCTACTCAATTAATAGTCGGGTGCACTAACTGAGAAGTGCAGGCATGTGAGATTTAGAACTATGTTAAAAAAGAGTGTTTCAGGTGAAACGTTGCAAGACAATCTCCATAAGGACCGACAACAGTAACCCTCTACCAGTCAATACCGCCTATTAAAATGGAGATCTATATAGGATTTCAGGGTTTCTCTTGTTGGAGGATGAATCAGCCTAACTAGTTCTTATGGTTTAAATGGTTTTCACACTTGCTAGTGAAACCCTACAAGTGGCTTAACATTTTCACGTCTCTGTCCCTTAACAAGAGGAACTAAGTATGTCCCCATGGCCACTGCTGTGCACAAGTGTCTTAAATTACTACCTTATGATGTTCGGCATGTGCCATCTCCTCCACTCCTATCTAGTGTTCTACACAGCAGCCAACATAGTCAAGCAGCTGGTCTTTATTGATGATCACTGGCTAGTAAAGCACCAGGCATCTGACTTTATGTCTCCCATACAGGGTCCATAAATGCCCTTGGTTCATAACCTTGGTGCATGTACCTGACATTGACAGATACATACTCTAAGAGGAACTGATGTCATCCATGCTGTACTGCTTTAATGCTAGAGTCATATGTAACCATTCTTTCCTTATGTTTGGATAGACTGAATCATATCTTGGTAGTAATGATATAATCAACCATTCTGAATAAAACACCACTTCTTAAAGTAAATTTCCTAATATTGTCTAAATGTTGAAACAGCAGATTGACTAATCATTAGCCTACAGAGGCTTAGAAATAAAACAATACTTTGTCTTTACAATTCAAGTCTGTGTATTTTCTTGCAACAAAAACCAATTTGTCTTTTTCAAAATTGTTTCTCCTGGCAAAAACTTTTGCTGTCTGGCCAACTTCTGTGTTAAAAATAAAATACAGTGTTACAACATCAATCAACATGTAAAGTACTTAGTGACTTACAAAAATATACAGGGATGCTTTTTGAAATAAGTAAGCCAATCAAGAATTTATTTATATTATCAAATCAAAAGTACGGCATTGAGGAAATCAAATCGCATTTGCGTTTAGAGATATAAATGTGGCACTAAGCAATTAGGTAATGTAAGAGAACACTATTAGGAGAAGCTATAAAAGGCAAGGGTAACTTAAAGACATAACAACCAGCTGTCTCAGTGTCCCCTTCCTGTCTGTGCCACACCAGCTCTTTGGCCTTTTCAAATAGCAGTTGTACAAGCTGAAGTAAGCAGAGCTTTCTCTCTAATTCTGACTCCCTAGAATGAGCCCAAAGTCCCTACTTACTAATAGTGAGTATTAATTATGTTTTACACAAATAGAAACCCAGGCTACCTGCCCTACCAGCTACAATGAAGAAAACCGAAATATTTCTATTCACAGAAGTTTAAATAGGTGCCAAAATAAACACCAAATACTGCAGTTATGTCACAGACTTTTTCATCTGACCTTGGTCTACTGGAAATGACTCAGGTCAATGTCTAAAAGGCGATGTGGACAAAGATGTCAGGGCACACAGCATCAAACTGTCACAGCCCAATGATGTAGTTCAGAACTCACCTTTTTATCTCTGCTGATCTAACTCAGCTAACCCTTTGGTGCTGTGTTCTTTTTGGTTCATCACATCTTCCAACTAATGTAAGTGCACTAGATTATTTTCCCAATACACAGTTCTCATTAAAGAAGCCATTTCAACAGCAAGAGTTCAGTACAGAAAATACCACTGTATCTCCAAGAGAGCCACAGAAAACAAATGACAAGTCAGACATCTTATAAACACCCATTTCCCTGACAGGAATACAGAATGTGGGAAGATCAACACTTTGGTACAAATAAAGAGATCTGCAAGGAAATCTCAGTTTCTGTACAGTTGTTCATGAATGGCAAGTGAGTAAGGAAAAGACTAAGCACTATAGTCTATGTTAGGTCAACTGTGTATAACAGATACACACTGGGTATTGTTCATTTGCTGTCTATTTCCACGCCTACATGAGATTTGGCGCTCCTATGTGAAGTCACCCCAATGATGCAACTCCTTTACACCTATTATTATTTTGATGCATCCACTTGGGATCTCCCGGGGGCTCTAGGCCAAGTTATTTAGGATGCACCTGCGGAATAGTGGTTCCTGTGGACTAATTTTCCAAGTGTCCATGTCATCGTTCCTGTTTAACAGCATCTCTGCTGTCCCATCTATTCTATTTGTGCTTTCTGACGTCTATTTTGTGACACTTGGTATTAATCTTTTAAGTGCCTTGAGGACAGAGTCATCTACATCCTAGGCCTAGTTACAACCTCCCCAATCATTTCAAATCATTACTAATTAAACACAGCCCTAGAGGAACTTCAAGTCCCTGGCTACCCCCAGATGAGAAATTAATGATATGCTATCACTGTCCGTTGTTAGCCTTAGCACAGCACTGTCAACACCCTGCTGTGTGAGGTTCAATGATAATCCTAAATACAGGGGATTAACTACCAGATACTTTATTTACAAGCACCAAACCCAATACACTTGGACCTGCTGTACAGACCATCCACAACCATAAAGAGCCATCCAGTACCATATCAATGGACATGGCTTCAGGTATAACATGAACTATCAGGGAAAAGACAAAACCATAAAAATTGAATCAGTTAAATCAGTCTCCTTGGTCAACATGGCAGCAACCAAAACAGTCGCACCTCAATAACTAGGAGAATTAACTGGACAGCTAGGCTACCCTAATGCCTCTGGTTTCATTAGATATAGACTTAAATAGAAGAAAACTGCACATGAGATTGGGAAGTGGAAGTCACACACCATAGCCTTCTCAGCTGCGTCAATGTATGACAGAGGACTACACTTGATTCAACATAAGCACTGTTGGAAAGAACAAAGAAAAAAGACCTACTTTGCTTTTTAAGTTCTTCAATTTGTTCTTCTTTTAGGTCTAACTGTTCTGTAAGTCTGGAGGCCGAATCCAATGCAGCATTTGCTTCATCCAAACGTTCCTGGTGGTGAGGGAGGGAGGCGAGAAGGTTACTAAAGCAGTATATAAACTACAGGGCTGTAAGACACTTCAGCATCAGTCAGCAGCTTGGCCAGAGGTGAATCACGCTGCACCTCTGTGACCATGGCAAGTCTGTGCGACCTACTGGCCTCAGACTGTGTCACTGCGCTTTCAGAGAAACTAAGTAAGATGCTACAAAAAAATAATATAACAAGATTAAAAAAACAAAAACTAAAAAGACATAAAAAGTCAACAAAGTAACATGTTTTTGTTCTTTTAAATTTTTAAGCTAACGTATATAAACGGGCTGTTTCACTGTAACTGTTATTGCACAGTTGGATCTAAACCTCACTGTGTACACTGCTTATGTACTTCTTCTGTTTTGCCTCACCATCCATTTGTGTGAGCACCTTGTATGGTAGATAACAACCCTTTGTTCTCTGGGCAATGAAAATGAGGTAACCCATTGGTCTACTGACTAATAAATAGCCTTTTAACCCCTTTTTAGCGATATACAAAGAGGCTCTCCTGTACTTTTATAGTTTGAGGTTAGTCTTGATTAAGATTCTTACATCTAGACTATACACACAATCTAGAATCTATTATATAAGATATTTTGTTTTCTATATTTCTATATTTCTAAATTTTAATATAGCATTTCTCAGTGAATATACCTTTGACAATTCCTAGCTCACTAAGTGTCAGAAAAGCTACCCAGTCACTACACCATCAAAAGCATTCTCATGTCCAAATGTGGTGGCATAGGCCTATACTACTAGCACTCTAGAAGCAGGATGATTCTGCCAGCCTGAGCACAGCAAGACCCTGTCTCAAAACAAAACAAAAATTACTCTCGGAAGCCAAGACTCCCACCAAGTAAGGACTCTTGTTTTAATATAACTGAAATTTATGTCTAAATATGGTATAAGAAAGAGTCCAACTTAATTTTGTCTATATGGATAGTTTGTCAATGTCATTTATTTTTATTTTTTGTGTTTATTTTGAGAAAGGGTCTTACTGTGTAGCCCCGCTTGGTCTGGAATTCCCTATGTAGACCAAGCTGGTCTTGAACTTATAGAGACCTGCCTGATTGCCTTCTGAGTGCTAGAATTAAAGCCCTGCCCAGCTAGTATCATTTTAAGAAAATCTTCTTTCTCACTGAATTAAAAATGATTCAAATGGGGCTCTTTCTATCTCTGGTCACTACAGAAAGAGGAGCACCTGCCACACCCAGGCATTTACAATGGACGCTACAGAACTGCTCCAGACTCCTCTCAAGAGGAATAAGCAAATGTATAGCATCAAGTCCTACAATTCCTTCTGCTACAAGGGGCTGCTTCACCACAAAACAAAGGGGTTGTGTGGTCATGACATGCAGATCTGGTCAGCGCAAACCAGCCACTTTTTATGTGAGGTCCACCATCTACAAGAATGCTCGGGCACCCTCAGCAGCATCAGGCACATGATCTGCAAGAACAAGTATTTCCTGATGTGGGCATGGTGGCCATCAGAGAGTCAGTACCATCCCATGAAGCCAGAGCCTGTGGTGGTGAAGAGGAAACCAACCCACACAACCAAGAGCTCTAAGCCCCACAACCCAGAAGCAACAGGGTCCAACGTCTTTTTTCAACTACTACCTACTACCAAAAAAAAAAAAAAAAAAAAAAAAAAAAAAGTTCAAATCCATTTCATTTAAATTCTCAAATATATTCTGGGCTCCACTTCTACTGTCCCTTGCCCCGTCTTTGCCCCACTGATCTGGACCACATTGTACTGGCTCTATTTTGATACAGTCCTTCCCCACTGCTTTTCCTTGTTCTAATTTTCTTTGTTATCCCAAAGAATCTGTAAATATAAATGTAAATTCCAGGTCACATTCTGTTCTGGGATTTGTCTGGTGTGCTACCTTGGATAGGTACAGTTCCTAGTTATTCATCAGTTACTACGAAAGACAGCTCATCGTCATGAGTAACCTTGAGTGTCTTGGCTGGGCCAATGGGAAATTCTTAAAGGCAGAGACTGGGCTTCCCCCAAGTGACAAAATCCCTTTAGTGGGCAGCAGCTTCTTCTGTGCTCACAGAACTCCCTCCAGCTGGGACCGTCCTAACTGCCTGAGGACAAAAGTTCTGTCTTGTGCCTGTGATTTCCAGCCAGGCCTTTGATGTGGTCTTCCCATCTTGACTGCCAGCCCTCCAAACTTCAGACTTGCTTAGCAAGCTCCAACAATCATGTAGCAATTCCCTGTAATCAATTACATGTGTGTCTACATATCATCCACATTAATGTATGGACACACACACTCCTTACTGATTGTGCTTTCTAGGGGGTTGAACTCTGACGGGGTCTGAAACAAAAAATTTTAAATAGAAATGTATTATTCTAATCTATAAATCTAAATTTGATATAAAGGAAATTTAAATAATTTTTAGAAAATCTAAACATTTTTTTAAAAAACCCACAACTTCATAGTGTTTATATGTATGCTGTGGGGTTTGTGTTTATGTGGGTTTGCTGTGCTGGGTATGAACCCGGGGTGTCACAGGTGCTACACAAGAACCCCAGACCTCTTACAAACTCAGTAAAGAAAGAACAAGCCTCTTTGGACATTAGCACTTATGTTTTGTTATTTTGCTATTTGTTTGGGTTTAATTTCATTTGTCCACCTTTTATCTTCATTAATTTCTTCTTAAGTTTTTAAGTTTCTTCTGGTTTATTTTGCTCTTTTGCAAAATGATGAATTTATCTTAAATCAAGAATAAATTAGTTTTGTTTAAAAAAAAAGATCTGGACTGCTACTTTAAGAGTCTAATAGACAATATATTCTGATACCACTGGACACAATTAAGTGTTGAATAAAAATATATCTTTTGGTCAGCTGTGGTGGTACACATCTTTAATCCCAGCACTCAGGAGAAGAGGCAGGAAGATCTCTGTGAGTTTGAGGCCAGCCTGGTCTACAAAGCAAGTTCTAGGATATCCAGGACTACACAGAGAACCCTGTCCCAAAAAACAAAATGAAACAAAATATATCTTTATAGATACATTAATAACTTTGATAAAGTAAACCTAGCACTAGAAAGCAGGGCCTATGGAAGGTGTCTGTGTCTCTAGAGCACTGTCCTTCAGAAGAATAAATGCCACTGCTGCAGAAGGGTCCTTACAGAAGGACAAGTTTGGGCCCCTCCTACTGTGTCTCTCTAGCTCTACAGACCCAGAACCATTAGCTGACAAAATTATTTTTCTTGTAAACTACCTGGCTGTAGTTAAAACAGCACAAAAATAAATAATATACTTTCTCAGTCATCAGTGTAGTAAAACTTCAAAGTCTGATAATTTATCATGACAAATATTTACAATAAGAATCATGAATATATTAAGAGTCACAGTAAATTAATATGACCATATTTGGAAAACTACCCTCCTAGTGATAAAGCTTAGGTTGTCCTATATATTCTATAGTTTAGTCATTCCAGTCAAAGCATACCTAATAGAAATCTTTGTGTGTGTGTGTGTGTGTGTGTGTGAGAGAGAGAGAGAGAGAGAGAGAGAGAGAGAGAGAGAGAGAGAGAGAGAGAGATGAGATGTAAACAAGTACATACGAAGCTCACTGCTGTGCAGACGAATATAAAATGCCCTTCACGGTAAATGAGAAAATAAAGCAGAATACTAGCTTCTTTCTATATGAAACACCTGGAAGGAAGACTGTGGAAGAGTACATAGAAACTGCAAAGGCAGCATTCATTCCAATTACGATGGGTCAAGAGGATGTGGGCATCCGCTGAATTACTATCCATCCTATCGTGTACATATTTTATATAAACTAGTGTACACATTAAAAATTTTACAGCCACTTAATATTTAACATAAAATTTAAAACTTAATAGAAAATATGGTTACTTCCTTAGAACATCAACAGTCCTAAACAGAGTATCTGTCACCAACTCCAGATAAGGGTATTTTATTACTTTCAACAGCTGTTGGCAGTCTGCCTGGGACTGAGAAAAGTACCTCCAAAATCCACAGCAAGTCCCTTTGGTGTCTGTCATATCTCTGCAGCGGGATTGATCTCACCCATACCTTCCATATGACTATCATATATAAAATAGAAAATAATAAGGAAAAAAATTCAAGACGCTTTAAAAGAAGACTGAGCACGGAGACTGGGAAAGTACATTTGTTTTTGTGCTTTTTAACTACAGCCAGAGCAGTTTATAAAGAAAATAATTCTGTTAGCTAATGGTTCTGGGGTCTGGGAACGCCAGTACTCTGGGACTTGTACCTGACAAGGGCCTTCTTGTTGCATCGTCTCATTGTAGAGCTAGAGAGACTCACTCGTACAACCCAGTGTGTGGAAGACTGAGTACGGTGGCTCACTCCTATAAGCCAGCATCTGGAAGACTCAGGCAAGAACTGGTTACTGAGAGCTCCAGTGCAACCTGGGCTACAAACTGACCCTGACTCAAAAATCAAAAACAAAACAAAGCAAATTTCCTCAAATTACTAAAATCAGTAATAAGAAAGGGGAACCAGAAAAAAAGATCAAATAGGAAAATACATACAATTTTAATACATTAACAAATACAGTATACAAAACACTTTGTTCACAAGAGAAAATTTCAACTTAATCCTATAGATGAATTTGTTTTCATTCTTCAGAGGCCCTAAGATACTGTGTTGTACTAAAGCATTTCAAGTTCCTTTCATCTCACATTCACTGGGTCTACTCAAATGTTGTCACCTGAGAGATTCTGAGCCTGATGGTTCATGTAACACCCAGTTGAAGGCTGGATACAGTCATTCAAACGTTAAATAGTAAATGAACGGGTTTTTGAGACCATTTCTAAGACACAGCTCTTAAAAGAAAGCATTTTGCCTACCTGCAGCGACAATACTTTTCCTTCCAGATTCTCTGCTTTTTTCTTCCATTCAGTTAAGAGCTGGTTTTGCTTTTCTAATTCAGCAGAATACATAGCTTTTTCCTCTAAGGAGAAAGGAAAGTTATAGTAATAGTAATATTTGGGACAGTGTATAAAGCTGGAATTTTACATCATCTAAACACCCCAAAAGGTAAGGACAGATGTCTTGGTGAACACGTCTGGTAGCACTGCCACCAGGGGCCTGTGTCCCTCCCAGGCTCTTCTCACCTTGTGACCATCCCACCCTGCTTCCTCTTTAGCCACACTCTACAGCCTCCTTGCCACACTCCTTTGTTCTTATGCCCACTCTTAGCAATTATATTAAAAAATAGTCTATTTTTTGGTCCCACTATGTAGCCCTGGCTGATGTGTAACTCAGCCTGCCTTTTCCTCCTGAGTGCTAGGATTAAAGGTGTGAACTAGCACACCTGGCTAGATGTAGGGAGTGGTATACTTAAAGATTTTAAATAAATGCACAGCCCTAAAGGGTCACACAAGTACAAATGTAAAATTTTTCTTAGGCACAAAAATATCCTCTAACCCTCCTATTAACCTATCAGTTAACCCAATTAGTAATTACCAGATGCACTGAGTCAACCAGATGGGTCAGGAATCTATAAAGTGGGTAAACCTAATTATGGTAGGGGGAATGTGAAAAAGCAAACTGTGTTCTCAGCAGAAAAATGCTCTAGTCTCTGTTAGTGTGTCTCTAAAACAGTATTTTTCCACTTGGAGTAGGAAATATAGCCACCTCAAAGCACAAATGAACAGCTAAGAACAAGCTAGTATTTCAAAGGTCAGTAATTGCGATGATTAACACTTAAATGGGGCTTCAAACTCCAGAATCTCAAACCTAATCATTCTAAGTGTGTGTCATTCTCCTTTTGCATGTGCTTCTATTGCTTTCCCTCTCCCTCTCTCCAGTTGTTTTGTTGTTGTTGTTTGTTTGGTTTTTTTTTTTTTTTTTTTTTTGCCTTCCCTCCCCGAAAACAGAGTTTCTCTATTGCTTTGGAAATTGTCTTGGAACTCTCTTTGTAGACCAGGCTAACCTGGAACTCACAAAGAACTGCCCGCCTCTGCCTCTCGAGTGCTGGGATTAAAGGTGTGCACCACCAATGCCTGGAAGTTTTGAGACTTTTCTCTATGTAGATCAGGCTTGTCTGAAACTCAGAGAGACCTGCCTGCCTTTACAACCTACTTCGAGTATTAAAGGTGTGTGACATCAAGCCCAGCCCCTTAATAAATATTTATTTGTTTACTTTGTATGTATGTCTGAGACCACTTGGGCCAGTGTGCATATGGAGGTCAGAGGAGAATTGGAAGAACGGTTCTCTCCCTCCACTATGTGGTCCTGAGGAACCAACCACAGGTCACCATGCACAGCACCTATTCGCTAAGTCATCTAACCATCCCTGTATAATCAATCTCCTTCATCCCTGGATTCTCCCTCTTCATTCTATTTACCTTTTTAACTCCAGCACTGGCTACTCTTCCAGAGAACACAGGTTCAATTCCCCAGCACACACATATCACACTAATGTCTGTAACTCCAGTTCCAGGGATCTAACACCCTCACACAGACAAATGTGCAGGCAAAACACCAACACACATAAAAGAAATAAAGTATTAAAAAAAAAAAGTCAGTGGTGGTGCACATACTTAATACCAGTACTCAGGAGGCAGAGGCAGGCAGATCTTGAGTTGGAGGCCAGCATGGTCTACAGAGTGACCATCCAGGACTACACAGAGAAACCTTGTCTAGAAAAAACCAAAACCCAAAAGCACAATAATAATAACAAAAAAGTTACACCCTGCCACTTTCATCTCAATTAGTAATAAATACTAAAACTTTATTTTAAAAATCACAATAGTTTTAATCATAAAAGGTGTGTGAACTTACCAGGTAGTGGTGACTTCTCTTTCCTCTTAACAAGTCAGTAACCATTTAAGGATTTCCTATACCTACCCTCATAATCAAATAAGACAAAATAATCATAACTACAATTTTTCTTCATTAAGACATCAGCCATGTAAGTAACGTACCTTGTTGGAAGTGTTCGAGAACCATCTGCAGGTTGGCTAATGACAGAGCATACTGCTTTACTTGCTCCTGGGAGACAGAAAGCTGCAAGGCGGTCTCATCCCTCTGCTTGGAGACTATGTTCAATTGTTCTTGCAAAGATTCTACTTGCACATTGGCTTGATGACTTCAAATAAAAGAATAAACGCAAACTGTTTCATCTATTCAAGTCATTCAACAAAAAATGCTTTCCCTACATTTTCTGGTTAGATTCCAAGGTATTTAGTGAATATGTAGGAAGACAACAACAAAAAAAGCTTCTCTGCATTTTTTAACTGATAAACCATTCACTGCATATTTACTATCAAGTAAGCCCATTCCCATTGCTGTATAAGCACGGCCACCATCCACCCACCCATCATCCCTCAGTGCATCCATCTCCAGAGCTTTGTCTCGTTTTACAAAATGAGGTCTACACTACTCTGATTTGTATTATTATTATTATTATTATTATTATTATTATTATTATTATTATTTGGTTTTTCAAGACTGGGTTTCTCTGTATTGCCTTGGCCCTGTCCTGGAACTAGCTCTGTAGACCAGGCTGGACTCAAACTCACAGAGATCCATCTGCCTCTGCCTCCTGAGGGGGTGGAATTAAAGGTATACACCACCAACACCTGGCATTCTCTCTTAATTATTAACCCATTTCTATTAAACTATGTATTGCCATGAGGCTGTGGCTTACCCATCTACATGGCGTCTCTCTGACGATTCTCTTTCCCTCTTCCCAGAATTCTCCTAGTCTGGTAACCCCTCCTATACTTCCTGCCTGGCTACTGGCCAATGAGCATTTATTAATCAATCAATAAGAGAAACATATATTCACAGCATAACAAGGGATATTCCACATCACTCGGGCATGGCCAAGAGCTTGTCTGCTAGATTATAGATCCTGCCATGATGGCATGGTGCCATGATGGCAATACAAATATCATAGCACCTATATAGCGTTTATCTATCATCTATCTACCTATCTATATTATTTTTTTTTAAGACATGACATCACCATATAGGCCTTGGCTGGCCTGTAACTCACTAAGTAGACCAAGCTGACTTCAAACTCTTAAAGACCTACCTGCCTTGAGTGCTTAAGGGATTAAAGGCATGCATTACCACACTGGGCCTGGCTTATCTTTGGAGTGTATCTCTGATTGAATGATGATTATTTTCAGAATACCACAATGGTCTTCACTAGTATTTAATATCCAGTTAAACCCTTACTCAAGAGTAACTATTAAACCTAATTAGAAGCAACTCACTTGAAAGATATTTTACCCAACAGTACCCTCTTGTGGAAGCAGAAGTAAACTGAGACATAAACTGTCCCCAAAAGTCCCTAGGTTTTTATTCATTCAACCTGACTGGTTAACAAATCAAAATATGAGTGTAAGAAGCTTTCAAAACACCCAGAGCTAACAGACAGTAGGTGTTAGTTTGTTAAAGGATCAAAATACCACAATGTAGCCTATAGACTGGGTTTACTCATACGACAAATATTTACTGTCTATTAGTCTACACTTAATACATGTTGTGGATAGATAGAAGATGAACACTTTCTTTGATAGGAGAGAGGTTAAGACATGCAACAATTACTAAGTGTAATATAAGGGCCATCAAAGACTCAAGGTTCTATACAAGTTCAGAAAAAGACACTACCACAGACAGGGTTTGGGATTAGAAATGAGGGACGGGGCACTAAATAATAAGCCTTTCTGAAGAAAACAGAATTTGAAAAATAGGTGAGAGAGGCAGGTCCATGGTTCAGTCAACACGAAAAGAGCAAGTAGGGAAAAAAGAACCGGGGAAACATGGGGGAGCTGAGCTGCTCAGACCGATCAGATAAGGCAGGGCTCTACTTGAGGATGCTCAGCTCAGCTCAGAAGTTATAGGGATGGACGTAGACTGAAAGTATAAGGGAAAACAAGGACACAAAAACTGTAAAGAAGGATTTTAGCAGGTACTGTTATGCTAATCACACGCCTCAGTGATTAGGATCTCTTCCAGTGGACCCAAGTTTGATCCCTAGCAGAACAACCTCAAAAGATACCTCAAATTAACTCTAGTTCCAATGGCAACCAACAATGTCCTCTTGGGGCTTCTGCAAGTACCTGCATGTGTATGGCACACCAATTTGGAAAAAAGAAAAAAGCTCTAAGTGTTCAGTAAATAAATTAATGATGTACTATGTAGTCATAAAATGTTGCTGCAGAAATATGTGGCTTACTGTATAATGACATACTACTAAGTGCTAAAAAAAAAAAAAAGGCTACAAGCAGTAGCAATTATATGATCCCATTTTGTTCTTAAAAGACAGACTATATAAATATAAAGGCATAAAATGGTACAAAGGATGATTTTAGGTGAATGGAGCTCTACTCTTTGGTAGGGTGCAGTTAAGTACACCAGTAATACTACCACTTGGGAAACAGAGGCATGAGGATTTCAAATAGAAGCCAGCATGACTTAGTGAGACTCTGTCTCAAAAAAAAAAAAAAAAAAAAAAAAAAAACCAAGTCCTAAGAATAAAATCTTTCTATTGAGAAAAATGAAAATTCAAAACTTCTCATAAGCCACAAGGTGGTTCCTCAAGCTGATCCAGGTCTCCAACCTGCCGCTTCCTAAACACGTTCATTTCCACCACCCACATGCTGTCAACCTTCAATCACCTGCTGAAAAGTAATACCATATCAATTAATTAGCTCTTGGGGAACTGGACAGAGCCAATAAAACCGGCCAGCATCCCAGGACAACTCCCTAAAATGACAAGTGACATATGGGAGGGGGTTGCAAAGCAGCAGGTCGTCTGAGTGCTAGAGTCTCATGAGACCCTCATGCCTGCTTGATCCAGTTTTTACCACTTCACCCTAAGACTCTTCACCTATAAAATGGAGACAATGACTTTTGTGAAAATGAACTGAACTAATAAAAGCAAAACGTTCACTGAGCATGATGCTCAACAAGCGACTGGTTATTGATGGTGAAAAAAGAAAAACTTACCTTGCGTTTTCCATCGCATTAGAGGATGAAACTAGCTTTTCTTCCAATACTGTGACTTTCTTCCTCAGTTTGGCCTCTCTGTCTTCTGCAGCCAAAGCTTCCCGGGTATGAGAATCTTCAGACTCTAAGAGGTGGTCACGCAGTCTCTGGAGCTCCTGGTTTAACCGGGACTCTTTGTCGCGTAAGTGTTGGACCTAGGGAGAGGGACTTTCTTTACTTTTCTTCTATACAATGCCCATCTCCACAAAACATGTACATCATCAAATTTTTCCATATTATGGAAATGTATTGATATATTAATATTAATTATACATAAGTATCAATAAGTTGTTATGATTGTAAAGTATAACATTTATTTTAATTGTAATATATTTTAATTATACAAAATAACATATTTATTTAGTAATAACAAGTATAATTATTATGAATATCAACTATATAATATCAACTATATAATGTATTAAATATAATATATTAATATACTAATGCTTTATATTGCAAAGTGTGTTTATACCAGGAAAACTGCCCAAATTACATTAAAAAAGATTAAAAAAGCTTTACATTTGCAATGTCTCATCTGCATAGTTACAACAGAAATGGAATGATACAGAGGCACTGGACTCTTATGGCAGAGTACCTTTCTCATGTCTTAAGAGTGAGGTAATTTTCTTATACACAAGGCACGTATCACAGTTTTCCCTTACAAAAACTAAATTATAATGTACCCTACTACAGCACATCAAAGGAGGAGAAAAACCACCAGATAATTTCATCTGTCTTAGTTAATGGTTACTAAACATCACATCGCTGTCCATTAGAGTGAGCGCATACCTCATTCTGGAGGGTACTGTTTTCCATTTGCTTCTGTTTCAGGGCCAGCATAACTTGGTCTCTCTCCTGTTGAAACGTAACTGTCTTCTCCTGCATTGATTTGACTGCATGTAAAAGCTGATTTAACTCCCCAGCCTTGCCCTTTTGGAAAGAAACAACTTTAGCCTTGATAATAGATTATCAAGATGACATTTTCTTCATTAAATTAAACATGGTTAACAAAAGCAATGTCAACAAAATCCAAAAACATTCTGAGAAAGACACAGTCTGGAGGAGCTTAGGGAGATGTGATGTCTAAATAAAGTGTGGTATCCTACACAGGCCTGCAGCAGGAGGAGGACATGGGATGACTACTGAAGGATTCCAATAAGCATGAACTTGCACTGCCACAATGTTGGTTCATTAGCTGTAACAACGTACGATAGTAGCTGAAATACGTACGATAGTAACAATAACAAACTGCATACAAGAGATGACTGTTCTCTTCACTACCTCGACATCTCTTCCCAAAGCTAAAGGAAATAGTCATGAGAAATGTTTTAAAGGGAATCAGGTGTGGTGGCTCATGCCTTTAATTCCATCAGAGGCCCTGGATCTCTGTGAGTTGATGGCCATCCAGGTCTACACAATCAGTTCTAGGCAAGCCAAAATTACATAATGAGACTCTATGTCAAGAACCCCCCTACACATACATGCACGCACGCATGTTTCCAAGAGTCTGGGAGTCTAGCACAGTGGAAGGGCACTTGCTTACTTCATATGAGGAGGCCATAGGTTCAATCACTAGCACTTAAAAAACAAAATACAGAAAAAATGCAAAAACATTCTAAAATAGTAGGTCACAGGTGATATGAAGGGAAAATGGAAAAAATGGGGAAGACTTTTAATTTGGGAGGGTAACATAAAAGAACAGAGGAGGGAGGGGGGAGGATAAACAATACTAAATGCATTTGAAAAGTCATAGGAAAACATTATTTTATGCTTACTCAAAATGCACATATATATATATATGAGTATGTATATATATATATATATGAGTATATATATATATGTATATATATGTGTATATATATATATATATATATATCGAAAGATACTCTGGCTTACACATGTCCACTGTGCCAGGAGCACAAACACACCAAGTAAAAATAAACAGTATATAAAGTCAACTGAATGGATCATCCAGCATATTATTTTTCTAATAGTTTACCACATTACATGGATAATTTGGGGTTTCTGAAACTTTTCAGTTTCTCTCATACATATACAAATATATGCAGCCATTATAAAAGCATTCTTACTGTAGCTCATCTGTAGCTCAAAGATATCTCTTAGAACTTCCTTTTCAAACAGGAATCTCTAAAATGTTGGCCTAAAATGTGATTAAAGGGATTTCCCTCTGATCAGCTGAGGAAATAGAATGCTTGCTATGCCAGGTGGTGGTGGTACATGCCTTTTATCCCAGCAGAGGCAGGCAGATCTCTGTGAGTTTGAAGCCAGCAAAACAAGTAGAATACTTGCCTAGTACAGAGGTCCTGGGTTTGATCTCTACCATCTCCCTAAGAACTGCTCTGAGGAATCACTCCTATTAAATCTTTTAATTTAGTAGTAGAATTAATCTACTACTAAAAATATTTAAAAAAATATCTAGTAATTTGGGGGTGAAGAAACTGTACACAAACCAAAATGCCTTCAAATAAATATTCCTAAGTGAGCAAGTTTAGTCTTCCTCCTCAGAAACAGCATCAATAAAATAGCACAGTAAAAAGGCTCCTTTGTCTTCAACATTTTTCTGCATACTTCACCAAGAACATACCTGCTCTTTCTCTTTCAACAGTTGTTCAAAAGCAAGTGCTTTCTCTCTCATCGAATGGCATTCAAACTCTTTTTCTCGTAACATCATGGAAAACTTCATGTTGGTCTCTTGCAACGCCTGGTATTCTGTTTCCTTCCCCCTGGAGGTCTCTACTATTTTTTCATTTTCCCCTTTCAATTTAGAAATGTCCATTTCTAAAATCAGTATTCTCTCCTTCAAATTTGTCACTGCCTGCCTCAAAAGCTCATTCTCATTCACTTTGTTCGTGAAATTCTCATTTGAAGAATGTAACTGGTCACTCTTGGCTTTGATTAAGAGATCTTTTTCCTTAAGTAAGTTTTGTAAAGCCTCTTGTTTCTCCTTCAGCTGCTTCATTTCCAAATCAGTCTGCTCGTGTTCTCTTCTTCCTGCCTCTGAGGACAAAGCAACGGACTCTGACAGTCTGTGGTTGTTTTCCTGGAGTGTTCTAATCATGACATCTTTTTCCTGCAGTGACCGTCTCAAATCATCCACTTCTTGTTGAAGCAACTGAGAAGACTCACACGGGCCAACAGACTGGCTTGTCATAAGAGGCTCTCCTGACTGAGCAGTAACTGATGAGCTAGAAGAGAGCTGGGGTGACATGATATCAAGTTTTCCTAAAAGAAGGTCCTTGGTATTACAAAGCTGCCCTATGCTGTGCTGAACTTGTGCCAATTCCTGCCCAAAATTCTTAAGTTTGGTTTCATTCTGCTCATAACTTTGGATTAGGCCAGTGTAGTCTACTTGTAATTTAGAATTGTTATCACTGTCAACCAAAACTTGTGCCTGAAGTTGATGAAGTTCTTCTTGAAGCTGGGCTGACTCATGTTGCATATTTTGGACGGTGGTCATCACCTGCTGTTTCCACTCTTCCATTTTCTTCACTTGCTGTTTTAGTTTATCACGTTCCTGTAAGAGCTCCTCAAACTGGTTACTATTAACTCCTCCAGACTCACTACCTGTGCCAGAAGTCTGCAAAACTGTCAGCAGGGTCTGGCACTTCTGACTCAGTGCATCTATTTCAATGTCTTTTTCTCGAATAATCCGTGATAAATTTTGAATAGTTTCTTTAAACATATCTTGACCACTACTTTCAAATCTAGTGGACATTTTTTTATTCTCATCTTGCAACTTAATAAGGGCTGCTTCTTTGGCACTAATAATATCTATCATCTTGTGATACTCTGTTTTTAGCTGGCTATTTTCCCTCGTCTTCTCACTTAAGACAACCATTACTTTCTCTCTTTCCATAGCATAGGCATGCAGCTGCTGCTGGAGGTACACAACATCCTGAGAGCAGGAAGCCGAGGAAATCCTGGCGTGAAGAGCTTGTATCTCCAAGTCTTTCTGCTGGATAATCTGAGTGAGCTTGCCAACCTCATCTTTGGACAACTGATCAATCTGTTTAGTTAAAGAGATATTCTTTTCATTCAGTAGCTTAATCTCCAGCTCCCGTTCTTTTATCCCCTTCACTAACCTTTCTGTTTCAGCTTTAGATAAATCATGTTTTTCACTTTCATTTTCTATATTAAGGCTCTGAACTTTTGTTTCTTGAAAAATATCAGAATTCTCTGTTGTAATGTCCTGTCTTTCTTCATGCAACTGGGCTTTTACTTGTTCAATTGTTTTTTGCAAGTTCTTAATTTCCTCATCTTTTTCTAAAAAGAGCTGGGTGTGTGTGATATTCATTTGTTCATGCTGGTACCTAAACTCATCCATTTCTTTCTTCTGTTCCTGTAGAGACTGGAGAAGCTGCATCTTATTCTGGTTTTGATCTTCAATCATCTTCTGATGATGCTTAATTTCTTCTTCCAGATGGTCCTTGATCATGTGCAGCCTAGACAGCTCAGACTCTAGCTCTGTGGTACTGTCAAGGGTTCTAGGCTCAGGCACGGGCACAGCCCGACTCTGCTGCTCTCTGAGCCGCTCCAGCTCTTCTTGCAAGTGATTGTTCTCTTCTTTCATGGATCCAAGACTTCTATCTTTTTCCTCTATGGTCTGCCTTAGAGTCTCATTATTTCTTAAGACCTGAGCACATCTGTCCAATTCCTGTTGCAGTTCTGAACTTTTTTCTTTAAGTTTCACAATACAAATTTCTTTTTCATTTATAAGTTGTGTCAATCGTTTCTGCTCTTCTAAACTAGTCGACAAAGTTTCCTTCATTTGTTGATGATCAGTAGACATTTGCTCAATACTCTTTTTGAGCCCTGCTATTTCAGAGTCTTTTTCCTGACTTAGCTGGATTAGGCGCTCATGTTCCAGCTCTAAGGCAGAGGTGCTCAAGCTGCGCGCACTGGACAGTTCCTCAATTGTTTGTTTGTATTTGTTTGCTTCTTCTAACAGCCTCTTCTCAGCTTCACACAATTCTGCCTCTAGCTGCTCCTTTTCACATCTCAGGGTCTCCAGCATGGCAGTGTTTTCCAGAGAAACTTGGCTGTTGCCAGCAATAGATTCTTCCAGCTGATTTCTTACATCCTCACAGGCTACAACCAGCTTTTCATTTTCTGTTCTGAGATCAAAAGCAACTTGCTTTAAATGTTCACTGAGCTGTTCTACTTCGGAAAGATTCTGCTTTAAGTTTCTGACTTCAGTTTCCTTTTCCTGAAGTAAGTCATCCTTCAACTTACTGTTAGAGCCTTGGGTCTGAGAACAAGTCAATTCACTCCTGACTGTGGACAACTCCTCCTCATTTTGTCTGATGTGTTCCCTCAGTTCCCGGTTCTCCTTCTGGATGTTGAGATTATTTTTCTCTGATTTACTAAGCTGAGCTACTAAATCTTCTACTTTATCTTCAAGTTTCTGCTTGGTTAACTGTAAATCACTCAGGGCCCGTTCACTGTGAGTTAGCTTTTCTTTCTGCGTCTCTAACTCTTTGATAATGTTTATTTTATCATCCTCAAGTTGATGGCTTCTCTGTTTTTCATCATTAAGGTCTTCTTTTAGCTTCTTGATGGCACTATCTCCTTCACTTTGTTGTTTTGATAACTGATCTTTTATCAAAATCACATGCTGAAAGAAAAAGTGATTTGCACAGTAACTTTGTGACATCTAAAGAAAAGTTTGTAAATTTTCATATCATATAATAATAATCTGAATATTTCTAATCCTTCCTTAAAAAATAACTTTCTATCTCATTATGTCTCACAAAAAAAAATTTACAAAACGTTTGTCATTTTAGGATTAAGAATCTAAATCAAAAAGGCTAATCACACATGTTCTATTTCTAACTTTTAAACACCAGAGCAGGCTTCCACAAACAGCAGTCCACAGCTACTACCTGTCTCTGTATACAATTTACCAAAGCAAAGCCATGCTTGCTTGTTCACATATCCAAACTCAGCAAGTTGAATAGCTGCAGCTGAGACATGTTCTGAAAATTTAAAACATACTTTACTAACTAGCACTGTGAAGACAAAGTTACATCTCTGATTAGATCATAAGTGAACTAAAATATTATACCACAATACTATATCCCTAACTACGTTAGTTCAGTACCCAGATGAGAGGCTGGAATATGCTCCTCATGAAAATACTCCCCACGTTTCATCATATTTAATGCGATGTTACCTTAGTAGCCTCTTGGTTCTGCTTGTCCAGTTCTTCTAACTCAGCTGTGAGTGTTTCATTTTCATGAATACTCTGATTCAGTTCTTGTTCCTTCACCTCTAAGTTAAGCTTCAAGTCACGTACTTGAGACAGCAAATCTATGTCCCTTGTAGCTGTACTTTTAATGACTTCATACTCATTGGTCAGTTTGGAAAGTGATATCTGAAGTTCTTCCTAAAATGACAAGGGGACAGGGAAAGCAGCACATACCATCATTCAAGAAGAGACATCAAGAGAAGCAAACAGACAAACAAACGTAACTAGTGGATCTATTTTAAATCCTTTGTGTTGGAAACATTATTAAACAAGCCACAGCCGTCAGTCATGAAGTTTTACTTACAGCTCTAGGCAGAACATTTCTACAACTCTGCGTTCACTTTCTAGCCCTAACTTCTTTGCAGAGGATCAGTCCAGGGCAGAGCCTTTTCTATTCTGTTCCCATGGCTATCAGCCTTATCCTATACCTACCAAACACACTCTTAATAAAAGCCCCCAAACTCCAGCTCTCTTCACTTCCACTCCCTAACACTCAGCCAGATTAAATACAAGTGTAAAAAAAAAAAAAAAAAAAATTACTCATTCAGACTATTTTTCTCATTAAAAAGACTTACCTATTACTTGATTATATTGGAATACAAAACCTTCTCTTAATTGAAGAATCACCCTGTTACATTTATTTACCTGTTATAAGACCAGGCTCCCCTCTCACAAACTCAACATTACTAAACACAGAACTACACATGTATTTAATAGTCTATTTTATAATAACATTTTCTTGAAAACCTAAGAAGTTAGATAGTTCTCTATGATTCACATCATTTTCTCTGTTGTAAGGTATATAAAGCCTTCTTCCTCCAGTGTTTTTTTTTTTTTTTTTTTTTTTTTTAAATTGAATTTCTCTGGGATCTACTTTGAAATAAATAATCTCAATTTCCTTTAAAAAGGCCCTAATAGCCCCATAGAAAAGAGGTCTAAAAAACTGTATGAGTGTCTCCACCATCTCTTTCTCATTTCCTTCCAATCCAAATGCCTACCCTGAACTGCCCTGGAAGACGAGGCCAAGTGTGGGGTCCATGCAGGTCATCCCAGCACTTGGGCTGAAGCAGGAGGACTGCTATAACCCGAGGCCAGCCTGAGGCCTAGACAGACTCCAGGCATGCATGTGCTCCACATACTACACGCAGGCAAAACACTCAGACACATAAAAGAAAAATAAATAACTTGTAAAAAAGGGAGAAAGGCGAGAAAGCAAAGGAAGAAAAATAGTACGTCCTTAAATCTTTTTAAAAGTATCTGTCCATTTAGGAGAACCTCAAATAACATTTTCAGGATGATCTAAGAGCACATCTGGCATTTTAAAGTGGGAAATAAATAAAATTCAGTTAAGAGTTACGGTGAATACTAACCATCAAAAGAAAGGAGAAACGGTTACCAGGAAATTGGGAATGTAAGGAAAGTTGGCAGGCCCTACAGGACTTGTGAAAAGGGGCCTACAGCTGCAAAATGTAGTTAGGCCAGTCAGATAAAGAAGAGGACTCAGTGGGACAGAGCCGGAAACAGCATGCACATACACAGCACTTTCCACAAAGTGATAGTGAGTCACTGCCGACACTCTGGGGAAAGAATGGCAGCAAAGATCTCAATGCCCAGGTCTGCACACAAACCCATCATGCCTCTCCAAGAACACTGCCATACACTGATGCACAAAGAAGCGGAAACAAGAGTTAGGGGCATAAGAACAAAATATAGCATGTTGACCCGGCTATTTCTTAAGGATATATATGCAGAGCCAGACATGTATTGATAAACCCACAATAAGTACTATTCTAGGAATTGTAATACAGAATGTCTTTGGGCAAGAGGCCATGTAACAAAGGCAAGAAGTTTTTCAGTATGTATTACTGAATACTTTCATCCATAAATGCATACTACTTTAAAGAACTCACAGTGTAAATTGAGCTCAAATTGTGGCTTTAGACTGTAATTCCTAGCTGTCTTTGTTAAAGTATCTGACATTAATAAGAGATTAATATTCTCAGAGACACAAATATATGGCTCCTCCCTATATCAGTGGTATCAAAGCACTCTAGTCCATCTTTGCTTAAAAAACAAAAATAAATAAAAGATTCCACTTCTAATAGCAAAATTATCCCTCTTCCACTGTTCACCAATAAGAAATTCCTACCTACCACAACAGACATTCTGCGGTACATGAGTCAGGCATCTCCCCTACCTGTAAGTACTGCTGTCAGAGCCCCATCAGAATCTCATCTCTTCTGCTCAGATCAGTATGCCTACTGGATTGTGTTTGCACCTACACTCTGGACAGCCTCTCAAACTCTGAACCTTGCCCAGCTACTCCAACATGGCTTGGTGAGCACACCAATGAGCTCAGACTTATTCTGAGACTCTATCACTACGCATTCCACTGATATAACTCATTCTTAGCTGTGACCTATGACACATACCATTTTAATTCTACCCCATTTTAACAGCACCTACCTTTTCTTGACTCAACAATGACTTCTCTTTTTCTAAAATTTGGACACACATTTGAAGTTTCTGATTGTCTTCAGCAAGATTGTTATCCTATAAAAATGTTAAAGTAGTATTTTCAGATAACAGAGAACTTTTAGTTCACAAGAAAGCAGTCTAGTTACATAATTTTACTCAGAATATTGTTAGTAACATAAAGATTAAGAATTCAGTGATGGACAGTTTAGAATCATCACTCAGTTTAGCCATTCTTATAGAGTATTTATTCTATTTAAAAAATATAAAAGTGTATTTTACAAAATAACTTGTAATTAATATACAAGGGCTGGCGAAATGGCTCAGCAAGAAAAGGCACTTGCTGTGCAAACCTGGAAATCTTAGTTTGATATCAGGAACCCATGTAAATTTCTAAGGAAAGAAAAGACTCTATAAAATTATCCTCTGACCTACATATGTACATGCGCACACACGTGCACATGTATGTGCATGCACGCGCGCACATACACATACACACACTCACAATCTTGAAATTCTTTAAGTAAAATCAAAATGCACCCCTTACTTTGAATAGAGGATCTGGTTCCTGTCTATCCTTTCAAGTTACCAATTACACACCAAACATATCAATTTATAACGCAAAAACTTTGTTATGATCATTACCCAAATATTACTGAATGTTCCTAGGGTAAATTTACATGAACTTGTGAGAAAACAAAAAATAAGCAAAGACAATGGATCAAAACTCTCTTAGTAAAATAATGCCCAAATCTTTCTCCCATAACAATAAGTTACCTGGTTTAAACTACTTAGTCTCATTATTTCATTTTCAGCATCTGTAAAAATAAATGAATCCAACATTACTTAAAATACTTTAATAATTACTTCTCACATTAAACTAAAAGGTTCAGTTATAAAACAAAGTATATTTATAACTAGTAAGCATGTTGACAGTTTGAAATAAAACCATATTAAAATCCAATGCTTTGGAAGAGTGTAAGAATTATCACTGTGCTCTGGATGAGGTATTAAGTTACTGTTCTGATAAAAGCAGTAACAATGAATTTCAAAATATAATCCATTGGTTTAAATAGCCAGAAAAAGTATCGGGTCTAAGATTGTTATTTAAAAGAAAAACTTGAAAAGCAAGTTTACACTTTAACAGTATAATTATCTCTCAAATATCTAAAGTGACTTAGAAATGAATGTACTACATATAGCTTCATAGAGAAAAAGGTTCTGGAAAAGGAACCCAAAGACAGACTATCAGGAGATCAGCTGAAAGACAACTGAGCATTTATGACAAAGTCAGTGTTAGACCAAAAGACAGAAAACTTCAGTTCTTACTCTTTATGAGCTTACAATTCAGAATAGATCTGTGATAGAAGCAAGTAAACAATGATTACAATACAGTGTGATACAGCAAGTACGGGTATTACGAGGGCAAAAACAGCAAACATCAGGTCAGAACCAGGTGGGAACAAAGGGCCCAGGATGTGGCAGTGCAGTTCTCCTCGTGGAGGGAAGACCTCACTGAGTCAAAGGAAAAACAGGGACATCCCACTCAGACAATGCGGTAAATACAATGGAGAAAGAGCTAGAGACCGGCTAAAGGAACCACAGAGTTCACTATGGCTAAGGTTTACAAAGTTGAGTGAGAGGAATAAACTGAGGGAGCAGAAAGGGACCAGATGAACAGATATGACATGTGCAAGTTTAGATTTCATCTTCAAGTTCCCAGAAAGTCATAAAGTACTAGAAAGTAGGGGCCTAACTGGCTTTGCATTTCTGGAAATTAACAGAAGAAAAAAAAAGAAAAAGAAAAAGAAAAAAAAAAAAAAAAAAAGATGGACTGAAGAATAAGAGAAAGCAGAAAATAAAAAGCCAACACTTTCTAACACTCACTTTGGCCCACATGCTATTCAAAGGAAAGCCTGTAGATTGTACTCACATAGCCACAGACTATTCCTGTCCTACAAGGAAGATAATATTATGACCAGCCCTCTTGTTTTGTTAAAGCTCGATCTGCATGTGTGAGTGCATCTGGGTGCTTCTTCACAGGCCAGAAGAGGGTGTTGTGCTTCCTCCTCTGTCCCTCTCCATCTATCTAAGTAGTCCCTTGAAGCAGGGTCTCTTCCTGCACCTGGGACTCCTGTTTTCTAGGCCAAGCCAGTACAGCCCTCCTGTTTCCACTCCCTCAGAGATGAGGTCACAGGTACACACAGGTGCTCAGCTTGACACATGGATGTTGTGATCCAAAGGCTGGTCCTCATTGCAGCAAGCACTCTTAACAACTTAGGGCTGGAGAGATGGTTCGGCGATTAAGAGCACTGACTGTTCTTCCAGAGGACCTGGGTTCAATTCCCAGCACCCACATGGCAGTTCACAGCTGTCTGTAACTCCAGTTCAAAGGTAACTGACACCCTCACACAGATATACATGCAGGCAAAACACCAATGCACATGAACTAAAATAATTAAAAATAACGACAACAACTGAGCCCTCTCCAGGCCCCAACCATCTTGTTCATACCATTTTTCAACTTACTCCATTAAGAGATTTTATTGACCAGTTAACTTGGGCATTAAGTAAGTCCATGGCTAAAATAAGTCCATGGCTATAAAAAATGGGAAAAGAGAACTAGGGACTAGGATAGCGGCTCTATTGTTAGACAAACTTAAGTGTCTCACTCAATATAATACACTTATTTTATAAATGAGTAGAGCTATTTGGGGGTCCAGATCTCCACCGAACTGCCTTCCCTTTGTCCAAGTGGAAACTCCCAGTGCTGATGCACCCAAGATACCCTAGTTTTGGGGATGCTATCCTGAAATATCACTCAGGGGGTGAAAAAATCAAGGAAACAAAAACCACAAGACTTGGTCAAGGGTGACTTCCAGAATTCTGCTTCCTAAAGGCTGGGAAAGGAATATGAGGGAGAGGAGAAGATGATCTTACTTTGAATTAATTTTAGGTTGAAAATCCATGTTATATATAGATTTGGCCACTCAGGTCAGGAGCTCATGGTAGAGTGGCATGGAGGACAGAGATACGGATGTTCACAAGCACATCACACTGGAAATTCTGGGGGTGGGGGGGGATGAGTTCATACAGGGTTTATACTAAAAGAGGACAAAATGCAAATTTTCGGTTGAAGAGTTTCCCTCCAACTATTTTCCTGCTATGCTTGAATACTGGTGCTTTGCCTATTTCCTTTAATACTAATTTTTTTTTAAAATTCTAAGTATCAATTGGAGTATGGAAAATAATAGACTATTTATCTATGGCTCCTATCACTCAAGCCTTTGTGACAAAGGGTAACAATGGATTTTTGCTGATGGAATGCTACATTCTTTAACTGGAGAGTCTGTGCTCTGATTAGTTACAATGTTCCAATCTGTCTACATTACAAATACCCATGAACACAATTCCTATTTCTCAGAACTCTATCTGGCTTCCTAAATTACCGACTTCTAAGTAAACACCTAAGAGAATAAGAAAATGAGGCTGAGAGACATCCTGCTAGTCCTTAACCCTTATCAGAAGACAATTCCTATTTGGTGCTGAATCCAAACCCCACAATTCTACTCAAATGACAAAGTCATTTCCATAAACACTCCATTTCCATAGAATATGCAGTTAAAAGAGCTTGACTTAAAAAGAACTAGTGTGCTAAAAAACGCCAATGTTAAGTTCCAAACATTTTATACCAGTCAAAGCTTGCTGTAATCTCAAGACCTCTGCAACTGAGGAACTCTGTGGGAGAGTCCTCTCCTCCTCTGTCACAATGTCCCTCTGCCCCAGAGCAAGAGGCTGCAATTTGCTGCATTCCAGCTTCAAGCGTTCACACTGCTCAGTCATCTGTTTCTTTTCCACCTCCAGCCGTTCCTGTTCTCTCTTCCACACTTGTCGGTCATGCTCTGCAGAAGACAATCTTTTATGCATCTCTTTAATTTTATCCTCAAGTTCTTCAATTTTTTTGGTAGATTCTACTTTTTCCGTCTGTAGAATCTGAATAGTGTTTTGCATATCATACATTTTAGAGTGATCAGTTACTGTAACTCCTGAGCCATCTAAAACATCAAACAAAACAAGAGAAATCAAATGTCAAGTCATAAAAAGTCTCTTGCTATATACAATACAGACTAAAGAGAGTATAGAACTTCGACAACTCAAAAAGTCAAATTACTATCTTATAATTTTAAATAAATAAAAAGTCAAATACTTCATCTGAATCAACTACTAAAGAGTTATATATTTGAGTTTGAAACAAAGTGAAAATATCTCTATTTTTCTGCTATAGTGTCATCAGCAAACAATGCAAAGCAATCCAATACACAAGTGCAAAAGGCCTTTCCTTGTCTGCAGACCCAGAAAGCTATAGCATCACTGCAGACTTAGCAGTAAGCAGCATGAGTCACTTCTTAGTCCATGGGGCTTGGTCTAGGTGTACAACAGTATTCGGATCTATGAATTGTGTAAGGTTTGCTATTCAATAATGTCATCTAGTCTGTAAAGTTAGTAAACTCATAACCTTGCTGTAACAGATTTTCTAGTTCTTCAATTCGTTCTTCATACTCCCTTAGCTCCTCTCGATGCCGACGACTCATCTCTGTCAGTTTCTGTTGATGCGCATTCTGCAACACTGACATTTCATGCTGATGGTCATCAATTTCCTGACTTCGATTCTGCTTAAGTTCCTGAAAAACACGAGAACAAATATAACCCCATGTATGATCAATGAATAATGAAGTAAAAAATGATTAATCTCACTGCTTTCTAAAGTTTGTATTATTAAAATTAATTATCTGAACATATTAAAACTGACAAGCATTCAATTCAACCACAGTTCCCAAACTGGGACAATTCTGACAGATCCTTGCCTTCTTATGATTTTAAAATGTTGTCTTATTTATAATGGGGAAGCATCAAGAACAGAATGAAACAAAAGATAGTAAAATATCTTTTTCCTTATAATCATGGCCAAGAATATCTTCTTTTCTTTATCTTTTTATCTTATTTCATTTTCAAGACAGGATTTCTCTGTGTAGCTTTGTTGACCAGGCTGGCCTTGAACTCAGAGATCCGCCTGCCTCTGCCCCCTAAGTGCTGGGATTAAATAAAGGTGTGCACCACCAACGCCTGGCTCTACACCTTCTTTTCTTAATGGCATATTGCCTCAATACTAGAGTCAACAACCTGACTTTGTTTTCCTGTCTCCATTGAGTCAGGTCTTTCAGGTTATGTATCCCCGCTTGGCCAGGAACTCAATACATAGCTTGACTTTAGCCTCAGCCTCCCTAGTGCTGGAATTCCAGGTGCATACAGCCACATCCAGCTCTCTGGCTCATCTTGGATTATGAAAGCAGTGGGGTCACTGCAAACCTCTGACAATGAGCACTGCTAATCTCATCTCATTCTCATTTTACAGTGCTGGATGTACTGCTTAGTTGCGTCATCTAATCTGTGAGACTAACAAACTTGTTCTAACAGATCCGAGTTCTTCAAGCCATACAGGTTTTCCTTCTGCTACTATTCTCTTACACAATCATCCTTCTGTCAGTCTTGAACTACCAAACTGCCAAGAGCAGGGCTTCCAGCCAGGCTGATGAACCTCCAGGTCCTGATCTGGAAGAAGCACCCTTGCTAACTGCATCTTCAAGTCTGGCTAGGGTGTTTTGAGATGATCACAGAGCTGTCCCCACTCCTGTCCCTTCTGACACAGACTACTCTGGGTCCAGCCAGCAAATCTTTTGCTTTACTGAGTCAGAAAAGGTTCTTGTGTATCACCAAGGGTCCAACAATAAGTAGCTGCAATTCCTGAGAAGAAGATAACTCTGGAATCCTGTGAAGCTATGTACCAACACCAATCTTTACACTGATGCCTCTGAACAACAGGGTTATGTACGACTGATGAAAGTAAGACTCAGGGAAAGGTTATATAACATGCCCAAGCAGCACAGCTGGTCGTGGGTACAGCCAGGGTTCACACAGATTTGACTCTGGGCTCTACCTGCACTTGTAATATAACACTAAACCAAGACTAACAGTTCTGTACCTGATTATAATTAAAAACAATCCACTGCCATGAAGAATGAACCAAGACTTTCTTCATAAAACAAACAACTGACAAAAACTAGCAAAATTCTATCACTGGTGTAAAATACTTATTTACAGTGAATATTAACATTTTAGTCAACATTCTTTAAGCTCAAATTCTTAAAATGTCATAACCTGGGAATAGAAGGAACAGAAAAACACAGATTTAGGATTACCAAAAAAAAAAAACATTTAAAACCAAATATTCTTGGACATTCTTTATTGAAAAGAATAAAACAGTTGAAAAAGAATAAAACTGTCAAGTATTATCTTGTATATAATTAATTTATAACTAAGAGTCCTACTAATTTGGCTTGTATCTTTAACTTACAAATCTTAGATGCAAGATATTGGTGCTGGGCAGTGGTGGTGCATGCCTTTAGTCCCAGCACTTGGGAGACAGAGGCAGGGATATCTCTGTGAGTTCAAGGTCAGCCTGGTCTATAGTTAGTTGTAGGACAGGTTCCAAAGCTACACGGAGAAACCCTTTGAAAAGCCAAAGAAAGAAAAAAAGAAAGGAAGGAAGGAAGGAAGGAAGGAAGGAAGGAAGAGACATTGGCAATCAACACTTTGATTTACCTTAATAATATTTTGCAGCTTGCAGACTTCTGTTTGATCAGAGCTTTGCGTTCCCCGCACCTTAGTTTAGAAAGAAAATAATTAAAACATTATTATACTGATTTTTTTTCTGTAAAACAAAAACTCACAAATTAACTATTAAAAGATCCTTGTTTTGTAAAACAAGAGCATTTCTCAGACATACTCTGATTAAGAACGCCACACACTATTCTAAGTCTTTAATCTATTGGTACATAATAAATAAAAGACACCATAGTCAAGAACTTAACTAAGTTAGATGGTAATAATAGTTTTACAAAATAAAGTTATATAGAAAAAAACCCAGTATTTTACTAGCTAAATGAAATATGAATATGAGGATAATTGAATAGCTTTCTAAGATGATAAAAAGTTACGCAATACCAATGCCAGTAAAAGTCTTTTTTTTTTTTTTTAATGAGTTTTATGCCTGGCATTGTGGTATATGCATTTAATCCCAGAACTTGGGAGGCAAGAGGCAGGTAATTTTTATGAGTTCAAAGTCAGTCTGGTCTACATAGTGAATTCCAGAACAGCAAGAGCTACACAGTGTTTCAAAACAAAACATGATTTTACACAAGGCTGAGGATATAGCTCCATTAGTAGAGTGACTGTCTAGCATTTAGGAGTTCCTGAGTATGAGTTCCAGCAATGTACAAAACCACAGTTAACCTAATATACAAAGAACACCAGAACTCATTCCTCTCATATATAGGTAATATGGATAATTTTGTATTTGATCAACATCTATCCATCACACCTCTCCAACTAGCCAACAAAACCTCTAATATCCACTCATTCATCTTTATAAACATTTACAATATGACATGTTACTGAACCAAAGCTGTCCTAGGAGTGAAAGAACATACAATGGTAAAACTCCAAAGCTCCAGTCCAGAAATGGCTAACTGAACAAGTGCAGTGGTGCATACCAACAACCCAGCTAGACAAAGAGGCTGAGAAAAGACGATGGTAACTCATGCCAGCTTGGGCAACATAAGAGGTCCCAGGAGGGGAGGGTAATAGAGTGGCTCTAGAGCACCTGTCTAGTATGTAGTGGCTCTCATTTTAACACTCAAAATATGTGTGTGTGAATTAACCCCTCTGACAATGGGAATATCGTCTACAGTAATAACTTCCTTATCCAGAAAACAAATAAATGCCTCACATGGTAAGGATAATAATATATATCGGGGTAATACATAGAAACATTTAAAGTGCAATTTTTTTTGTCTTAACTAGGAAATAAGCCTTGCTGAAAGGTTCCAATTATGCCTTTTCTACCTTTATAGTCTAGTTTTTGTCTCCCCTTGACATTCAAGACATGTCAAATACACAAAAAAAAAAAAAAAAAAAGAAAAGAAAAGAAAGAAAAAGAAAAAAAAAAAGAGGTCATCTCTTTTCCCTTTTAAACCTTAACCTAACCATGCTCTTTTATTTGTTTTCCTGGTTTTGATTTTTTGACAAGATCTTGCTATGCAAGCTGGTTTTAAACTCCAAATTCTCCTGCTTCAGCTCCCAAATGCTGAAACCACAGGTGTGTACATGCTATCAAGATGGCTCAACAGGTAAAACACTTGCCGCGAAGACAGCTGACCTAAACTCAATCCCAGGACTCACATGGGGAAAGGCTAGAGCTGACTCCTGTGAGTTGTCCTCTGACCTTCACATGCATGTGTGTGTATGTAACCCCTCTTTACCCCACACACATAAATTAAGTTTAAAAAAAAATCTAAGGGGCTGGAGAGATGTCTCAGTGATTAAAAGCATTGACTGCTTTTCCAGAGGCCCTGAGTTCAATTCCCAGCACCCACATGGTGGCTCACAACCACCTATAATGAGATCTGATGCCCTCTTCTGGTGTGCATGCATTCATGCAGAACACTGTATACATAATGAATAAATAAAACCTTTAAAAAATCTAATTGTGATTCTCAGATCATCACAATTGCCTGGCACTTCTTAGAAGTCTCTAAGACCCTAAAATACACATTAAATCAAAGTCTCCAAACACAAGGAAATCCATGCCACTATCAAGGCTCCAGGTTATTCTTTGCGTATAAATTTGAAATCCTGGTTTTGGTAAGACAAGATGGACAAAGATAGGCCCAACTAAGCTGTATGAAGCAAGCAAACAATTTTAATTTCCTTTTCATAACCTGATTACATCCACGAAAGGACGCTTTGGATTTTATTTTGTTTTTTAATAAACTGAAGTATACTTATATGCTATATTTTCCCCCTATATCAATGAAGTTAAATCCAAACATCTACTGTCTATTGACAACTTCCATAAATTATATAATCTTTGTATAGCTGGGCATGGCAGTGAACACCTTTGTTCCTAGCCTTAGGGAGGCAGAAGCAGGGGAAATCTCTATGAGTTCAAGACTAGCCTGGTCTATAAAGTGAATTCCAGGTCCACCAAGGCTACATGTGAGAGTCCCACCTCAAAAGGAAGGGGAAAACAATAACAAAGAACCCTTAGTATACAGAATAAAAGTTCCTTGGAAGAACGCTTACAACTCAAAATATCAGTACTTAATTTCTGGTGCATTAAATATGACACACAACACTTCAACATGTATTTTTAAAGATTATTCTATGTGTAGGTGTTGTGCCTGATCTGTGCACCACAGGTATGCAGTGCCCACAGAGATCAGAAGAGCGCATCAGAGGCCTTGGAATGAGAGTTACAGACAGTTGTGGCCTGCCATGGGCATCCTAGGATTCAAACCTAGTCTGCTGGAAAGATGAGCAGCCAGTGCTCATAAGCAATGAGCCATCTCTTCAGCTCAGTATAACAACATATTTTTAATACTAAGGATCAAATTTTTATTTTACATGTTATTAGAGCTTATAAAACCTCAGACAAAATCCTAACACATTTTCAAAAACAATGTCTTTAAGTTCTGTGCTTCCATCACCAAAGACTCCAGGGGTGTTAGCTCAATTTAATTTTTATCTTTTGAGTCTGAGTTTATAACTTTTTTTTTTGAAAGTGAATTTATTGCTTTAATTAAAAAGAGAATCCACATATCACATAGAAAAGACAACTGAAGCTGAGAGATGACTTAACCAAAATCATTAGAAAGCTAAATGCTGCATTAGAAGACAAATACATCTTTTCTATTTTTCTAGTCAAGAATTATTTCTGGCACCAAATGTTCTGCCTAAATAATACCAGCATTTTTACTAATCCATAGTTTTCACAAATTCATCCCAATATTACCAACCTCAGCAATATGTTTCCAGTGTCCAAGTTCAGATTCAAGTCTTGAAACTTCATTTGATAATCTGTTTATTTCTTGTTGCGATGAAATCACATCACCAAAGTCCATGTCATCTTCATGGAAAGCTGACACATGATGACTGATGCCATAATTGAATGAAGGTGATGCAGTGGCTGCTGATACCCTGCCAGATTCTGGATGTATGGGCTGGGCAGCTGACTGCAGTCTGAGCAATTCATCCTGTAGTGCAATCTGTCTTGCTTTAAGGTGGTTGATTTCTTCCTATGTATTTACAATCCATGTTTTAGAGAACGTATAGCTCGAAATGCTTATTGGCCTTTTACAGATTCAGTATTGAAAGGCATGCTGACTGAACAATAGCACTTAATAAGTGAACCTAGATCTTCCACCATACCCTAACCACAAGACTGCACTTGAGAGACAAACATAATTCCCATTAAGTTCGGATAATGTTCAAGATAGTGCGAAGATTAGGATTTCACTCACATGTTAACTAAAGCAATGAATTTCTCAAGGGAACGAATTTGCTCTATCAAAATATAGGTAATTTTATCAGAGCTCTGTTTATAATTATCAGACAGAAAGTAAAACAAAAGCTGTGTAATTCAGTAAAACAAAAGTTAGGTAATTCAGACCATGGCTGGACTGAGGCCCAAAAGGTCCATGAATCAGCAGTAACTCTGCACTCATCTGTACAACATGACTGAAAGAATGCTTTGATATATGAATCCAATCTTTCTAGATAGGACAACACAGTCAGCCTACAGTTATTAGCAAGAGTCTTAGAAAGAAATATGCATTAAAATAGGCCCCATCTTAACACTAGCCAAGATGAGGCAATGAAAACCTGGCCCTATTTAGAGACAGTAAAAAATTCTGAATTCTTAAGCAGAGTTCTAACTGAAGAGTGTCAATACCAACTTGTAAAGCTATGTGTGGTGGCACACATCTATAACAACAGTAGTCAGGGGGCTGAGGCAGGAGGATTGCTGAAAATTTGAGTACATCCTGGGCCATAGATAGTAAGTACCAGGGCAGACAGTACTACCTAACAAGACTTGATCAAAACACATACTCATTTACCCCACAAACACCCCAAAAAAGCTGATGATGTAACTCAGTTGGTAGAGTGCTTTTCCTAGTAAGCAGTTTGGATTTGATCCCCAGCAGTTTGTAAAACAGGACACAGTAGCACATGCTATAATCCCAGCCCTTTGGGAAACTGAGACAGAAGGCTCAGAAGTGAAAGGCTATCCTCAGCTACAGGGCAAGTTTGAGATCCTGTCTTAAAAATAGGTTTAAGAAAAGAGCTAGGATATAGCTTAATTGTGAAGTTCTTGAACATGTGCAAGGTGCTAAGTTCAACCCTCAATACTGGAAAAAATATAGGCATTTAACCTTAATTTGACCTCGAATCTCTACTTTTTGTATTTATTCTAGCAGTAGTTGAGTTTTAATATAAAATTATCAATTTTCATTAGATTAGAGACTTTAGCTCTGTTTACTTTTATCTTAAAAGCAGTATACTTTTTATTCTACTTTCACATATCACCAGAAAAAATAGAAACCAATAGGTATATTTTTGTAGTGTTTTAGCTTTATCATGCTGGGAACTGAAGTCAGGGCCTCCCACACCAGACAAGTAAGTACTCTGCTCAAACACTGAGCTGTAGTCCCAGGCCTCATTCAAATTAAAAAACTCAAAGATGCCTGTGGTAGAAATGAAGTCAGTCAACAAACTAAAGCGCATCTAAATGATCTGAATAATAAAATAAGAAATAGTTCAACTTAATGTAACCATGTTTAAACACATAAGAAAATTTAACAATAGGAATCAGGGTGACATTGGTTGTGACATTGGTTAAATTACATAATATCTACTATTATTAATTATTAAGACTTCAAAGAAAAGATAAAATAGTGCCAAAACAATATTTTAACAAACTACAAGAAAACACGAACATTTGCAAAAAAGAAAAAAAAAAACCTGTATTTAATATACTTTTATGTGGAAAATCAATTACATACCAATATAAAGAATATTAACACATACAGTTAAAATGTATTTTTATAAGGGAAAATGTCATGAGCAATAATCACAATTAAGATCAACTTAAAAAAATATTTAACATACGCATAGTTCTGGGTTCAATTCAAGGCACTACAAAACACTTTGAATAAAAGTTCCTAAGACCTAGGGAAACATATATTAAAGTATATTTCATAAATATCAGAAATTATAAGCATCAAGTCATTAAAATATATTATAAAAGACTCTCTAAAGAGCTAGGATTTATTCTTCCCAAAGGTTAACTTATAAAATAAGATTAATAGGAACACTTTCCCAATTTTATTAAATTCAGTATTTTTAATACTTTCATGAATATAAAAACTAGCCATGAAGTAAGAACAAAGTAATGAGGATAAGCCCTTGCCTCTTTCTGCTGCAGCTGACTGCGATAACTCGAAGATTGCTGCTTTATCTGTAATTCTGATGCTTCATGCTTTTCCTCTAAATCGGTGTAAAGCTTTTTAAGTCTTTCATTCTAGAAGCAAAGAGAAAAGTATCTTCAACAAAAAGATTCCAAGTCAAGTTAAGCATGTTAGCAATTATCACATGCACACATTATAAAAAAAAAATTACACTAAAAAAGATGTAAAATACCAAAGGTCTCAGACCTTAAAATTAAAATCCTAATTCTAGCCCTATTTTGTCTTCAATGAACTCAGAAGCTGGAAAAGTTCCCCAAATATCTATCAGGTTTAAAGAAACAGGAAAAAGCAGAGGTAAGGCTAGTAAGATGGCTCTGTTGGTGAAGAAAGATATTGCTATGCCAAGCTCAGTATCACGTGGTCCTGGCGCACATACGGCTGTTGTCCAGCACCCAAATCTGGCTCTCAGTGTGAACAACACTGTAAAATTTGTGTTTATGACAAAGATGTTTCAATCCCCCCCACACACCCAATAAAACCTTTGTTTACACAAAGACCCTGTGTGAAATTAGGTGGGTTTCTTTCACTTCCTTATAGCCCAGTCTTGTAAGACTGTGAGGTCAGACCCCAGCCAATGGAGAGGAGACCTCATTACCACCTACTTAGGATAAAAACCAAGTTCACTTCCTATATCCAGACGTGCCCACTCTTCTGAGCACACAAGCTTGATCAGGAATAAAGTTTTGCCTTGTCAAGTCTTGGTGGTGCAAGCCTTTAAAGCCTGAAATTTGTGAGGCAAAGGCTGGTGGATTTCTACGAGTTTGGGACCAGTCTGGTCCATATAGTGAATTCCATGAGGACTACACAGAGAGACATAGTCTCAAGAAACAAAGAAGAGCAAAAAAGGCATTTCAATTTTGTGGTCTTTGTGACACTGAACTTAAGTCTAACATCAGCACCCACATTAGGCAGCTCAAGGTCACCTGTAACACCAGCTCCAGGAAAAACTAACAGGCAGTGGCACGAAAATGTACATACATGCATAAATTAAAAATAATAAATGTTTCTTTAAATAGGTGGGGGCTAGAGTGATGGCTCTTCCAGAGGATCTAAGTTCAATTCCCAGCATCCATATGGAGACTCACAACTACCTGTAAAACTACAGTCCCAGAAGAGATATGAAACCCTCTTCTGGCCTCCAAGGGCACTGCACGTGTGTGGTGCACAGATATATGCATAAAACATGCATACACATACATAAACAATAATTATAATAGTATTACATAACTAAGTATAATACACAACTTTAATTCCAACTCTCAAGAATAGTAGACAGGCAGATCTCTGTGAGTTGGGAGACCAGCCTGACCTATACAGACAGTCCCTGGCTAGCCAGAGTTCAATAAGACACTATCGCAAACAAAATAAAAGTCCTTGTCATAGCATGGTAGCAAGTGTGGTGGTGCATGTTGTAATCCCAGCATGGGGAAGGTAGAAACAGGTGAGCTTGCTGTCCAGAAACTCTAGCCTAATCTGTAAGCCTCAGGGCCCAGTCAGAGTCACTGCCTCAAAATAAGATGACTGGGCTTGGAGAGATGGTAGTTGATCTAGGTTCAATTCCCAACACACACGATTGCTCACAACTGTCTGTAACACTAATTCCAGGAGATCCAACACTTTCTTCTGGCCTTTGTGGGCACTGCATGCATTTAGTGCTCAGACATAGATACATATTAAACACCCATACACACTAAAAAAAAAAACAAAACAAAAAACCAAATAAATAAAAATACAAGGTGGATGGCTATTGAAGCACAACATCCAAAGCTGACTGCTGGCCTCCACATGTACATAAATACACATAAAAGAAGGAAGGAAGAAGTAACAACCAAAAGTCTACATAGAAAGCAGCTGAAATCTATAATCAACAATAACAAGATAATTACATCCCTGTTTATACCTGAGTTAGTAAGTAGCCAGATGAATCCAAAGAACACTGCTGATTTTGTGTTGCTCTGAGACCGGGTTTTGTTATCTCATCCTGACTGGCCTGAATCCCAGCCAAGTGCTGGTCTGCTTTAATGTTCTGAGTACAGTTGGTATGGCAGACATGTACCACTGACAAACCCAGAGCCCCATGCTCTGGTGGTACTTCCTTCCAGAGGACCCCAGTCTGATTCCCAGCACCCACACTGTGGCTCAGAACCATCTCTAACTCCAGTCCAGGGGATCTGATGCCACCTTTTTCTCTCCACAGGCACTGTACCCATGAGGTACAGACACGTCGTGTAAGCAAATACACACACACAAAAACTGGGGTTTGCACTATTTATAAACTATTAAACTTCTAGTGAAGTCAGGAGTGGCGGTGCACACCTTTAATTCCAGCACTGGAAGGCAGAGGCCAGCCTAGTCTACAACAAGTCCGAGAACAGACTACAGAGACCCTGTCTCAATAAAAAATCTTTTCAATTATTTAATTCACACTTCTGAAAAATGATAATATAAAAAAGGCTAAAAGAATCTACTAGGTACAAATAATAAATCTAATAACTATTTCCTTGGCAAAAAGAGGAAAGGTAGCTTATGTAAATTTGTAAGGTTTACAATTAAAGACTCTTAAGCAGGACTTGGAATAGGCATGCCAGTGACATAGCAAGACCCTGTCTCCAAAAAGCAAAAACAAAACAACAAAACAGAGCTAAGAAGATGGATCCCTGGGTACAGTACTAGCTGCTCAACTGTGAGGACTGGAGCTCAGAACACCAGAGCACATGGAAACCCAGACACATCTATAACCCACCATTCCCACTTTACATGTTGAGTCAGGAGAACCCTGGAAGCCTGGCATATGAAGCAGCAAACCACAAGAGACCTTGTGTCAAGGTGGAAGGCAAGGACTGACAACTGTGGTTGCCCTCTCACCTCCATGAATTGTGGGACACACATCTGACTCACACACACACACAACAAAGAAAGAAAAAATAAGTCAAAAGAACCCTAAGGAATTTGGTCAACTACTCACAGGCAGATCTAGCTTCCCCTGGAAACACACTGCCTCTCTTCTGCACTAAAACTTGCTACCATCAGCTTATTCTTGGACATCAGTGAGTCTGAGTGTGGACAGATCACAAGGTGACCTACAGCAAGAGTATGACAAGCATGTGTAGGCATGTACATGTACATATGAGGCAAGAGCCTCGCTCATTTCCTGGACCACACAGTATAATCTTGTCTCCCTCTGGTATTCAAGTAGCATCAAATGAGGAAGCAAGCATACCTGCCATAGATGATACAGTCCTAAGAAGCATTAAAGTGACTGAGATCTACAGGACAGAAACTTCCATTCCCTTTTTCAGACTCAGTACAAAGCAGCCATTATTCAAGTAGGTTCATCTTGCTTTCCCTCAAAACATACACTGGCAAATTCCACTGAGTTACACCAGCACACACACTCTACTGCTAATTTTTCTGGGTGGGTCTGTACCAAAGAGGATCTCCTCAAGGAGTTCTAGCTCCGTCTTACTATGAATCCTTGTGTTGCATATGCCACCACAATGCTATCTTCTATGGGCTCAGTGCTAGTGTCCCTCTCTCACAAGTCCCTCCTCTGCTTTCAAAGTGCACAATCTCACCTCGATGACCTAGACCAGAGTTCAAAAGGCTTCTCAAGAAATACTATCTTAGTATCTAGATTGAGAGTTCCCTTTTTATAGGCTTAGAATGGAGGGAATCATGCTTTCCACAGTCCTCTAAGAACAGCTCTCACTATAACACTAAGTGTTCTTTTGCTGTTCTTATCCCAAGGCTAAATTGTTGAGCTCTGACAGTCCTTTACAATAACTCCCACTCTGAAACCCTTTAATTTCTTTAGTTTTCTCATTCCTATTAAGTATAATATAATGTCCAGATTAGTCACAACTCCACATTGACTCATAAGGAACAAATCAGTAAAGTTAGCTTATTATTCCTATATTCTTAACTTCTTTGCTCCAAATACTACATTATTATTCTAATGTTAGGAAATGTAAAACTCTAGATTAAACAGAATCTCATTTTTCATATTACATTTAAATGGACCACTAGCTAGGTGTGATGGTTCAGGCCTTGTGGTGCTTGTGGTGGTTTAAATACAATAGAGGCTCATATATGTGAATGCTTAGTCATCTGGAAGTGGCACTAACTGAAGAGGATTAGGAGGCGTGGACTTGTTGGAGGAAATACGTCAGTGGGGGTGGGATTAGGGGTTTCAAAAACCCACACTAGGTTATGTCAGGATGTCGCTCTCAACTACTTCTCCAGCACCATGCCTGCCAAGTCTGCTGACACTTTCCCCGCCATGATGATGATGGGCTAAGCCTCTGAAACTAGAAGCCAGCTTCCAATTAAATGCTTCCTTTTATAAGAGAGTTACCTTGACCACAGTGTCTTTTCATAGAAATAGAACATAGGCCTGTGAGCCCAACAACATTCAGGAGGCTGAGGCAAGATCATCAGTTCAAGGACAGCCTGGCCTATATAGGAATCTTAGCTCAAAAAGCAAAGCAAAACAAAATTTAGAGAAAACAAGTACAAACGAACAAATGCGCCACTACAATGCAGCACACTGCTGGATAAGGTCAATGATAAACTTTTACATGCGTCGGTTTTCCTACTCCCAACAGACAGAGGTGGGGATGGGGCTATAAAGGAACCAGCTGCGGCAAAGGCAGGCACTCTTCACTTAGAGAGGAATGATATAAGGCCCAACAAAACCCAGAGAGGCTGAATGAAAGGTGAGACGGGCCATTTACAAATTCTGGAAGCTTCAATAACTTCTATGGCTTCAAAAGAGAAAACCTCAAGTTTGACAGCTATCTTTAATTGTCCTTACCTCTGATCTTAAGACTGAATGAGTAGCTTCATTTTCCTCTCTCCCGGAATTGGGCAAATCTGCTACAAAACAAACAGTATATGCTGAATATTTGATTGACATCAGATGGAAGAGTAAACAGTTGTTTTGTGGTGGTGAGACTGATGCTAAGGGACTGAATCTGGGGCCTAGTCAACATCGGTCAAGCAGCCCACTGCTAGGCTGTATCTCCAACCCTGAAGGGGATCTTGAGGGAAATGCATTCCACCGGGTTTAAACAGAACACTAGGCTGAGGGGAGCTTATTGAGAGGATACGCCATTCCATCATTACCAAGGCACCACACAGGCTGCCCTTTTTCCTCTCCCCTACACCTTAAGAGGGGTGGCTTTATCCCTGGGAAACATTCTACAAAGTTTTGTTGTACGAGATTTGAAGGTTTTGTTGTTGTTGTCGTTGTTTTCCTGTGTAACAGCACTGGCTATCCTGGAACTTAGTCTGTAAACCAGGCTGGCTTCAAACTCAGAGATCTGCCCATCTCTACCTTCCAAGAACTGTGATTAAGGGCGTGTACAACCACTGCCCAGCAGAAATTTACAGGTGTTTTTTGTTGTTGTTGTTGTTTGTTTTTGTTGGTTAGTTTTGGTTTTTTGAGACAGGGTTTCTCTATGTAGCCCTGGCTGTCCTAGAACTCACTTTGAAGACCAGGATCTCACAAAGATCTGCCTGCCTCTGCCTCCCAAGTGCCGGGACTAAAGGCGTGCGCCACCAACACCCAATTAACAACACTTTTAAAACAACAAACTAAGCCTGACTGTGGTGACACATGCCTTTAACCACAGCACTTGGGTGGCAGAGGTAGGAGGATCTCTGTGAGTTCAAGATCGGCCTGGTCTACACAGTGAGTTCTAGGAAAGCCAGGGCTATAGAGAAACCCTGTCTCAAGAAAACAAAACCAAAAAAATTAATAGATAATAATAAACATTATAAATATAACTTCATAGAACTACTATTTATTTAAAAAAAAAAAAAAACAAGTGGCACGTCTATAAAACAATGACAGTCTTGGGAAAATCACCATACAGGATTGCTTTTATGATTGTTGTATGTCCTGCCTGACACTCGGTCTAAAAAGACTGACTAATTGCTATTCTCAAAAGGACAAAGTAAGAGCTAATTTGTTTAGGAAAGCAACTGCTAAAAGCTGCAATTGTGTCAAAGAGGGACTTAAAAGTTTATGCAGACCACCCCGGCTACACATGCAGCCCACCCTCCCTCAGCCAGCTTTATAAAAAATTTTCCATTTCTCTTTCCTGGGGCTTTGTGTGCTAGGTTCCCTGCTCCAAATTCCTGCCTGCTCTTTAAGAAGTTTTATGACAGAAAACAAACAAACAAACAACAAACGCCTAGCCTTCTCAGTAAGGGAAAACCTGACAGACACTTGCCTATGTTTTTAGCGCTTGCAACATTTCCAAACAACATAAATCCAATTCTCTAATTTACAAATGATGCACTTACTCATTTTGAACAGATAAGAAAACTCCTTTTTGTAAATGTATAAATGTGTGTCTGCTTATGTGTACTGCACACATGCAGGAGCCCTCGGTGGTCCCAAGAGGGATGAGATACCCTGGAACTGGAGTTAGAAGTAGTTGTAAGCTGACATGTACGTGCTGGTAATCAAAACTGGGTCAAAAGCAGTAAGTAACCTTAATCAGCGAGCCATCCTTCCAGTCCCAGTAACTGTTAGAGATTAAGTTTTTAGTAATTTGTCAAAGATCTCACAACTTGTAGCGTACGGAAAAAGAACTGAACCTATGTCAATATAATTTAAAGGCCCAAGTTCTCTGTGCTGATCATGCACAAGACCCTTGATTCCAATACCCACTACCACTGAAGGGAAACAACAAATAAAATCCCAAACACAGCTAAAAGTCCACTCTCTTAATCTTGACTGCAATAAAGTAGTAGAAAGGCAACTGTCTAGTATCTAAAGTTTTATTTGGGAGTTATTTTCTTGTTCATTGCTGACATAGGGTTGACATTAAATATCTGAATGCCTTAATCAACTCTACTCCAAACTAATTATTTTTAAAGTTCCAACAATAAAACAGGTATTAATCAAGTCCTGTGTAATATTAAGGAAAATTTTTATTGAACATCTACAATGAACATATAAAGGAAGATGTCCTATACTGGTAATATATGTAGGAGGGAGAAAAAAATAAAACCCCCGTGGTGGGTTTAATGAGAAAGGCCTCCAATGGCTCATCTTCTGGCAAGCTTCATTTGTTAGGTCACAAACAAAATATTTCCACACTTGGTTCCCAGGTGGAACTATCTGGGAAGGATTAGGAGGTGCGGCCCTGATGGAGGAGGTGTGTCATTCCAGGCAGGCTTGCAGGTTTCCAAAGCCCACGCCATTCCCAGTTAGCTCTCCCTCTTTCTGCCAGGTGCTTGTAGATGAGATGTAAGCGAACGCTCCAGCACCATTCCTGCCTGCCTGCTGCCATGCTCCCTGCCATGCTGCCACAGACTCTACCCATCGGAACCCTGAATCCCCAAATTAAATACTTTGTTCTGTAAGTTGCCTTGGTCATGGTGTTTTGTTACAGCAGTAGAAAAGTAACTAAGAAACCCCTTCCTATACATCAAGGAAAAAGACAAATCATCACTCAATGTCATTAGTGCTATCAGACAATCATACACAAAGCTCTGTTAGACTAAAGAACACTGGTAACCAAGTCATCCTGTGTGGGGGTCAGGACACTTTTACAAAGTCGCTGGCATATACAGCATGGACATACAGAAGAGGAGAAAAAAGGAGGACGTATAGTAAGCTTTCCATGCAGACGCTTGGAATGATGGGGAAACCTGCCAGTCTTTGTGACAGAAGCTCTGGGAACAGACTGCACGTATTTATGTCCAACAATAGATATGGAAACTGGTGTGGCCACTAGAAAAGACAGCTTGAATCCAGAGGGATCAGGTCTTTGACCTCCCCAAAATAAGAGGCTTTTTTACTGTAAGTCAAGAAAATGTTAATAACATATGTTTAGACTAGGCAGTACAACAGAAAATGAATCAAGAACCAGACCTGAAGAAATCCAACCCAGGAGACACAGACTCTGAGTTAGTATTAGCAGTTACAAAGAAAAAGGAGAATGATGACACAGGATGGACAAGATTTGGTGGCCAACTGGAAACAAATGAATAACACACACACCCAAAAGTGATGAAGAGTTTTAATTCAGGAAAATGAGCAGCTAGCCAAATCACTAACAATGAGACTATTAAGCCAGGCTTGGTGGTGCATGCCTGTATTCCTGGTACCTTGCAGGCAGATGCTGACAGGGCTAGAGTTTAAAACAAAATAAAATAAAATTTTAAAAAAAGCCTAATATTGACAGTGTATGAAGGTAAAGCATGAAAAATGCTATTTGAGGTCAACCTTGAGCTATACTGCAAATGCCAGGACAGCCTGGGCTACAAAACAAGATTCTGTCTCAAAAAAAAAAAAAAAAAAAAAAAAAAGGTGGGGGGGGGTTTGTATTTTTGAGACTACAGGAAGCTCTCTGGTGAGAAAAAACAATAACCTCTCCATCAGGTTGGGGTACCTATTAAAGTTAAAGAGACGGCGTTAATCCCTATTGCAACACAGTAAGAATCTAGTCTTCCCCATGGCTATTAGCCCCTTTCTGCCTTCAAAGTCCCATGACCCTTCCTTCACTGGACACATGAGGCCTTTCGTTCTCACAGTCCCAAGTGATGAACCTCCCACTCAAGGGAAGCCCAAGAGGGAAAATGGGCTTGGGCAGCAACCCAGTTTTCGTTCTAAATAGAAAGACTTTTTCTATCAAACTATTTCTCTATTTCCAAGCAATACCCATGGCTTTAAGTCACGATGAAAGCACCGGGGAGCTGAGAATACAATTCAGCAGAGTGTGTTTACAGAACAGTAAGTTGTTCATTTATAAAGAAAGCTGCCATAGCATGGCGGTACAAATCTGTAGCACCAGCGCTGAGAAGCAAGAAGACCGTCTGCTCCAGGCCAGCCTGAGCTGCACAGCAAATCTTGATTAGAACTTTAAAGTTTTGATTGTGATTACTGTAAGGGTATGGGTGTTTTGTCTACGCACCACTTGGGCACATGGTGTCTGGCGAGACCCAAAGAGGACAATGGCTCCCCTGGAACTGAATGAAGTTATAGACAGCTGTGAGCTGCTACTGGGTGCTGAGAATCAAACCGACTTCCTCTGGGAGAGCAGACTTCGATCTTAACCGCTGGATTAACTACCCTCTCCTTTGATTAAAACTCTTAAAAACCCTACCCACTCAAAGGAATGTCAAGAATAGTAATAGTAATTAACCTAACCACTGATTACAATTGAATTCGAGGTACTATTCTTTAGGACAGCAAGGGGATGACACCAATAACAACTGAAGGAGACTGGCTAGATAAGCCAGTGAGTAAAGGCACTTGTCATGCAAGCCTAGTGAACTGAATTACATGCCCAGAACCCACCAAAGGTGGAAGGAAAACACAAAACTGTCTTGTGACCTCCACACGTGGGCGCTGTGTCAAATTCCATGCCAGCCCATCACACACACACGCACAGACACACAGACTCACAGACGCAGAGCAATGATGTCTACAAAATGTAAAGTGAGTGAAGTAGACAAAAATGCTCAAAAGATAAAGTATTTCTCAAGTTCTGTCAAAATATGGGAGAAATGTGCAACGGAACACAGAAACACATTTTTTAGCTGTAATGTGTCTTCACGATGAGCAAAACTAGAAAATAGGTAAAGAGATAAACAGCCCTATTCCCCTGACAATGTGCTAAAGACAGGACAAGAGTCACCAAACGTTTAATTGTATGTAAGAAAAAAAATGGCCATGCCATTTTAGCTGTCAAAATAAAGGAACACGATCAAAATCAGATCCGCCCCCCAAGCTAAGGGCAAAGAAAGAAAGAAGCATGGACCGCTCAATTAAGACCCGACTCCGCGTAAAGGTATCAGCGCTATCCTGGGTATTCATGGGGGGGGGGGGGGACCAGAACTCTCCACCAGCCGTCCTGCAGGCTGGGAAGGCGTCTGCGGAGCCAAGGGGGAGAGTGCAAAGGGAAAAAGTGCCAAGTGGCTCCTTCGCGACCCGTTCCCGTCTGCCGACGGAGCCGGAGCCGAGCGGGCCTTCTCGGGGTCCCAGCCGAGCCCTCCCGCCTCGCTCCAGCTGTCACCTGGCACATCCTCCGCGCCTTCCATCAACATATCCTTCGTGAAGTTTGAAATCTGGCCAGTGAGGGAAGCCAGGCTGCCCCCTACTTGACCCAGAGACTGGCCCAAGCCGGAGCCGAGGCCCCCGAGCCAGGACGACATCGCTGCGGGTGGAGGGCACGGCGTCCGCTCCAAATGTCCCTGGACGCTGGTGCAGGTCCAGACGCCGAGGACTCGCAGGACGCGGCACTCCCACCAACAGCCGCGTCAGAAAGCCGAGGCCCGGCCCGGCCCGGCCCGGCGCTTCACCGAGGGCTCGCCGCTCTGGACTCCGTGGCCCCCACGGAGCCTCAGCTCGTTCCCACCACTCCCCGCCGTATGACTGCAACACTTCCTCCTCAGCTTTAGTGACTTTCCTCAGTGTCCTGGGCCAGTCCTGCCAACTCAACGCCGGCCGCCATGACACCGCCGGGAAAGCGGCGGCGACCACAGAGATGCTCCGCGATGGCGTAGAGGGGCCGCTGCAAGCGTTCTACGCGCGAAGGACTGTGGGATCGCGGAGGCCCGCGTGTGGGAGGTGGAGACCGAAGAGGCGGGGGCAGCCGGACGCTTTCCACCTGCGCAGCTGCGTTTGTTTGTAGGCGGAGGCAACCCTGGGGCACGCCTCCTTAATTCTATCTTCTGGAGCTGTTGCTTTGCTGGGAGACACTTCAACAGGCTCGTCCCACCACTCAGAGAGGCGACCTCAACCCACCCACATTACTCTCTTTTCCCGCCTCTATGAGGCTGCTCCAGGCCAGAGCCTTGGAAACGAGGCTACAAAGCTGCAAAAGCGGGTTGCAATGCAAGAGTCTAAGTAGAAAGCACGTTTTTTGGTTGTTTTGTTTTCAGTTTTTCCAGACAGAGATTGGCTGTCCTGGAACAGATCTGCCTGCCTCTGCCTCCCGAGTGCTGGGATTAAAAGTCTGTGCCACCACTGTCCGGCTTTTTTTTTTTTTTTTTAACCAGTTACCTTGTACCTAAAGGAACATTAGGAATACCCCCAGTATGTGGAATCTGATGACCCCCATACCGAATTATTACTCCCCGGAATCTGAATAATCTCACCAGATATCTATTTGGGTTTTGGGGCGCCTCCGAGGGGTTTTCAGCTTCTGTGGCCCAGGACAAGGCATCGGAGAGACATGGGGATAGAATCAAGAAAAGTGAGAAAATGCATAAAGAAAAAACACAACACGAGAAGCAGCAGACAGGAGCATTTTCTGCAGTGGTGGGGTAGATGAGCTACATCTTCAGCTTGATTTGATGGAGAATTTTTGGTGCTGAGGATTAAATCTGGAGATTGTGCTCACCGTGCATACAGGCTTAGCTACACCCTCAAGCCTTTGCTTGAGACAGGAGCTCCTATAACCTAGGTTGGCTTCGAACCCTTCTGCTGCTACCTCCCGAGTACTGGAATTACAAGCATGTTCCAACATGTATGTTTTTTAAATGTAGCATACATAATCCTCAAATGATCAACGTGTCTACTGTCCTTCTGGGCACTAGAGATGTAGCAGGAGAAAATAAATGGTCTATGAGCTTACAAAGATTGTGTCCCATGGGAAAGCACACCTAGACAAAACGTAGTGTTAAGACAGGTAGTAATGACGGTCATTAGGGAGAAAAGTAGAACAGTGTAAGGACAATATGGGCATGGCATGGTAAGTGGAGCACTGGTAATGTAGACAATGGTGAAGGCCTCGATAAGGTAATCTTGAATAGAGACTTGAAATAGTGAGATATACAGATATATGGGGAAAGCAGTCTACTCGGGAAGATACAACGGAATACAAAGTCTTTTAGACAAGAGTACCCTGGTCAATTTTGAGAATTTATAAGAAGGTAAGCATGTTTTGAGCAGAAAGGGTTGGGGAAGATTTGTAATTGAAATCCTAGGTCTGAAGAAGGCATGTCACAGGGACTGGCAGGTCTTTAATCAGTCTCTGGCTTATATTCAGCGTAGGATGATGAGTGTCATGAACTCAGGACTTGGGTTCACAAATGATTGAAATGTTTAGAAACTGTAATCAAGCTCTTATTTCCTGTAGCTTTAAATCCTCTAAAGCTCCATGTCTGTCAGAACACTGTCCAAGAATGGAATCTTATGAGAATTCTGAGTGTTTGTGAGAAAACTCCAAGAACACAATAATCGTGACCTCAGTCCCTTTGGGATTGTTCCTGGAATGCGCTTTTGTGCTCCTCCCAAATGCATCAGACACAAGTGAGTTTACTTCAGAGTATTCATTACAACTGGTTGTTTCCATTCCTCTATGGGGAAAGCATGTTTTTGCCACATGGGGGTTGCCCATCACCTGTGGCTTGCCCTTGTGATTGTACACTTTATTCATGTGACTCCTCTTAACCTTCAGAGTATAAACTGTCCGTTGCTCTGAATAAAGTCGGCCATTGCATGAGACTTCAGTCTACCTCATCCATCGGCTCCATTCTCTCAGGTCCTCTAGAGTGGAAAACATGTGTCCATAAATTCATGTTGTGCTACAAAATTGATGTAATGAAGAAAATGCAAATATAAGCTTTTGCACCATTTGTTAGGACAAATGCTACCCTCTAAAACAGTGTTTCTCAACCTCCTAATGCTGCAATCCCTAAGGACAGTGCCTCATGTTGCTTTGACCCTCAGCCATAAAATTACTTTGTTGCAGCCAGGCAGTAGTGGCACACACCTTTAACACCAGCAATCAGGAGGCAGAACCAGGCAGATCCCTGTGAGTTTAAGGCCAGCTGGGTATACAGAGTGAGTTCCAGGAAAGCCAGGGCTACACATAGAAACCTTGTCTTGAAAAAACTTTATTTCATTGCTAGTCCATATCTGGAATTTGGCTGTTATGAACCATAATGTAAATATGCAGGATATTTGATATTCAAACCCCAGAGGGGTCTCAATCCAGGGGTTGAGAAACACTGAACCTTCCTTCGGCTTTTTTTTTTTTTTTCTTCATATAAGACTCAAGTGCCGTAAGGTATGATTAGCCTGATAAGTGGCGTAATACGCTATCTTGGATGTACTTCAAAAAGATGGCAAGAACATGAGACAAGAATGGTCAGAAGCCAGGTTGGAGGTGGCTCAGTTAAGCAAAGTGCTTATTTCACACACATGAGGACCTCAGTTCAATCACCAAAAAAAAAAAAAAAATATATATATATATATATATATATATTTGGCATGGTAGCACATATATGTGTCAACTGGGGGGGGGGGCAGAGACAGGAAGATGACCGGGAGTTTTTAGCCAGCCAGGGTAGTCTAACTGGTGAATTCTAGATCAGTGAGAGACCCTGTCTCAAAGAAATGTATGGCTTTCTTGAGGGTGACACACCAAGTTGTCATCTGGTCTCCATTGACATACAAGCATACCCCATACCCCTAACACACAAACATGCACACACATGCATTAAAAGAATTGTCAGAACCTGGCAGTGGTAGCACATCCCTTTAATCCCAGCAAGGAGGAAGAGGAAGGCCAGTTTGGTCTACAGAGTGACTTCTAGCACAGCCAGGGCTACACAGGGCTGTTTGAAAACCCTGCATGCTTTGGCAGCAGGTATATTAAAATTGGAATGATACGGAGAGGATTAGCATGTCCCCAGGTAAGGATGACACACAACTTCATGAAGCATTCCAAAAAATGAATTGTCAGAGGCCAGGCATGGTGGTTTATGTCTTTCAGCTCAGCATTCAGGAAGCAAGTGGATCTCTATTTGTCCCAGGCCAGCCTGGTCACCATAGCAAGCTCAAAGCCAGCCAGAGTAATGTGATGAGGCCCTGTCTCAAAAAATAAAATGCTAACATATTGTCAGAAACCAATCATTATTGAAATTGGGTTATGAGTACACAATGTTCATTGTACTGATCTTGTTTTTACTTACATATGCTTGACTTTTTTTTTCTAGCAAGCTTTAAAACATACGTTCAATAACATTTGACTTTAAAATGTTCTAGTTTGGTTTTCTGTTGCTATGAAAAACACCATGGCCAAAAGCAAGTTGGAGGAAGAAAGGGTTTATTTCATCTTACAGCTCCCAGGTCACTGAGGAAAGTCTGGGCAGGAACTGAAGTCAGACACCAAGGAGGAAGGCTGCTCACTAGCTCACTCCCAGACTCATGATCAGCTTTCTTACATAGTACAGGCCCACCCACCTAGGGATGGTACCATCTACAGCAGCTGATCCTCCTGTATCAATTAGTAATAACAATTAAAAAAAATCCCCACAGGCATGTCCACAGGCCAATCTAATAGAGGCAATTCTTCAATTGAAGTTCCCTCTTCCCAGGCAACCAAGTTGACATCCAATATTAGCCATCATGGCTGATTCTTCCTTTTCCTGCCAAACACCCCCATGGTTAGCCTGGGTGTCCCTGATCATCATTCAGGAAGTTGCAAGACCAACATAGCAAAATTAAACTCATCATATCAGAGAGAAGCCCCGTGCTAGAGTGATTCAGTAAATTCCTAAATCAGAAAAACGCTATTAGCTACACCATCCCCACCCGTATCTCACTATGTTAACTGGAAGTTGCTTACACAGACCAGCCTGGCCTCAAACTCAATAAAAATCCACCCGAGCACAAGGATTAAAGGCATGAACTATCACTCCCAGCATTTTCTCATTAATACTATATTCTACCCAATTCCTTTGTGAAAAATAGATTAGTTGATATTTCTTATGTCCATTGTCCCCTTTTTTCTGGACTCCAAATAGTGTTATAATAAGCATTGAGGAGTCATCAGTGTTTACATTGCATGATTTGGTGTGGTTTGATGTCCTCTGGAGTATTGTTTGAATACTTCATCCCTAACTGGTGGCACTGTTTGGGAGGTTATGAACTCTTTCAGAGGTGAGGCCTAGCTGCAGTACTCGGGGCAGGACTTAGAAGATATAGGCCAGCCTCGATACCTGTGGAGTCATTTCCTGATCTGCCAAGATGGAAGACTTGGTAGCTGCCATGCCTTCCCTGCCGTGGTGATGTCCTGTACCCTCAGAAACTGAGCCCAAACCGATCATTCCTAAGCTGCCTCTTGTCAGGCATTGTCTCAGTGGCAAGAAAGGCAACTAATAGATTCTATACACTTGGCTCATCACTACTGAGCCACAATGGTATGCTATACATTTCTCTCACAGCACAGGCCATGAGAGCATTCCGATTCTGAATGAGTAGTATTACTCATGGCTGTTTCTAAAAACCTAGAACAATGTAAGGCTGATAGTAAGCACATAGACTGTCACTGAATGCTGCATGAATGAACTTTCTCTGTGGCAGCCTGAGAGACAAAGGGCGGCTCAGGTCCCTGGCATAGGGTAGAGAATGGGCAAGAGAAAACAATCCTGGCCAGGCATAGTAGCACACACTGGAAAACCCAGCACTCGGGAGTCTAAAGCAGGAGGTTCCACATGTTCCAAGTCAGTCAAGGCTACATAGGAAATGTCTCAGCTGGGTGGTGGTGGCACGCACCTTTAGTCCCAGCACTTGGGAGGCAGAGGCAGGCGGGCCTCAGTGAGTTTGAGGCCAGCCTGGTCTACCAAGGGAGTTCCAGGACAGCCAGGACAAAAGTCTCATATTGACAAAACAAGTTACTAAATGTGCTTTGTCTCTTAAGGTTAAGACCAACTGAACAAATATTTAAAACCAGATTTCAAGGAATGATGTGGGACTCTATTCTTGGAAGAGATCTGAGGAGAGGGCACAGGTATAAGGCCAGTGGGTTCATCCTCAAGCAGTGACAACTGTGTATCTGGGATGGGGTGGTTATGTGTTCTCCAAGAGGAATCTGTGAGGGCTTCACTTCAGCTTCATACATACACACAGCTCCACTGACAGGTTCTCCAAGTCCAGCTACCTTAAGGTCCTGGTACAGTGAGTCTGGCTGTGACCTGAAACAGCATTTGGGAAAAGCTCTCACCAAACAGAGATGCAACTGTGCCTCCCAACAGACTCAGAAGAGCAAGGCTATGAATTCACAATGAACAGAGAAAGGTTAATAGAAAAGCAATCATTCTCTTTATTTAATAATCTCTGATAGTTAAAATACAACTCATTAACATCCACATCAACAGAACTCTCAGTGTTCAACAGTGCTTTGGAAGGCCAGCTTTCGAAGGAGCAGACAGATGGAAGACCTGTGGAGTGGCTGCCCCAATTCCAGGAGACTGGGCACACGAGGAAGGGCTGCAGAGTTGGGTCCTGAGCAAACTGCACAGCCACAGTGCATCAGATCGGCCAGAAGACAGTGCCTTTTATTTCGCGGCTTTTGCACTTGCGTTTCAAATATTTTATTTTACAGAGCAGTCATTTTTTTTTTTTTTTTAAAAAAAGTTATTCCTATTTAGGCCAGTGTTGTAGAAATTAGATAATCACATTTCAAACATCTGTCTTCCTCTAAAAAAAAAAAAAAAAAATCATGAAAAACATTCCAGGGAACATACTATCTTTAAGCTAAGCAAGACACAAGTATTTCCTAAATAACTGTGTTTCCCACTACTACCTCATCCATGACTGCAGTCTTAAAATATGTACTGGTACTATTAAACCTCCATAAATTCAGGGATATTGTTTTGTCCTAATTCTTAAAATGACAGACCATTACAGAAATAAAAAGTATCCTCAAATTAAAAACAAAATCAATATCCTTTTCATTCATGAAAGACTACAACCAAACCTTTTATTATGTGTTAACACTTTGAAAAAAAATACAAAACCAATTTGTTTCTTTAGCTTATTAAAAACAAATCAGGAAACACAGGGAGACTTTTTGTTTTAAATATGAAAAACAAAAAGTTATCTACACTACTGACTACTTAATCCAATCTGGTTTTCCTTAGGGTCACATACATCAATCATAGCTCTGCACTTGGCAGGGCTAAAGTTCAGCAAACACTTCATCTGAAAGTACTCCTTAAGGCCTCTCGACATGTAAATTCCATGTGAACTTTCATTCTTTTGCAGTGGTAAGGACTGAATGCAAGGCCTGAACCACTAGGCAACTGCTCTACCATTGAGCACATCCTCACTGCTGAATTTAAAGCTGTTATCAAGGGTCTCAGTATTAACAACTGAATCCTCTTACTAATTTAAAACATTGGGATTTCCCAACTTAAGACTTTTAAATAAGATAGCATAGTCTGGTTCTGCACTACCCAATTGGACTTGTGCTGGTCACAGGAACCAATTGTAAGAATTTAGTAATTCTTGGCACTGGCATGATTTAAAAATAGTATCAAATATGCAGGTATTCAAAATGAGTGCTTTAGACTCTGACATGAATAAAACTTATTTTAATCAACTTGATATTAAATAAAACAATGCAGATTACTCAATTTGAGCATTCTTTCGCATTAACTTTGGTTTCATCAAAAAAAAAAATATTCAAGTTTGCAGGTGGGGGAGCACCATCTTAAATACCATCTATGAACTGTAAATGATGTGGCCAACGTACTAAAAGTTTAGTGCAGAATTTACCTGCACGACTGTATCTAATAATTCATATCAGTGAAATATCTGTATATTGCCGTCTTCTTTTTTGTTTCATTTTTGTAGATTTAGGGTTTAGGCCAAGTTTCTTTCTCTTTCTTTAAGACAAGGTCTCACTGTGCAGCTCTTGCAGATTTGGAACTCACTGTATAGACAAGGCTGGCCTTGAATTCAGAGAGATCTGCCATCCTCTGCCTGCTGAGTACTGGGGTTAAAGGTGTGCAGCACCTTGCCTGGCCTTCCAAAGTGTTCTTATACTTGCTTATGATACTAACTGTAGTATTTTATCTGGGAGTACAAGTTATACATTAGAAAAAAAATGATACCAGTAGTTTAAATATTAAACATTAAGGTGTTCCAAATTGATACAAACAATGGAAATGTCAGTCAAGTCCACAGCACAGCAGTACCAGTGGATCCCCTTGCCCTTGTAAATGGCAGCTCCTGGGGTATGAACTAGAGTTTCACAGAGCCTTTGCACTTTTTGATACTGTGGTTATAATAAGCACTGGGGGTCTTTGCATACTGGCTACTCATTAATAATGAAATCTAAACGTTCAGGTAAGCCTAAGTCAATCCAAAAGAGATGGCAGTTCAACAGTGATTTTGGATTTGCCTCGCCAAATACAACAATTCATAACAAATTAAAAAAATATACTCAATGATATTCAACATATGCTCTTTCTCTTTAAAATGTCTCTGATAAAAGAACAACATGCTATACTTCATAAGTGATTTAACTAGGTTGTGTTATATGAATGTTTTATAAATTCTAAAGTTAAAACTGAAATTCATATTGGCTTTCTCTTTTTTTCTATCAGGTAGCTCATCAACCTAACTGTAGGAAAGTTTAATGTGATTTGTCAATGAGAACAGAAAAGGGCCAATGTCCAGATGATGTGACTGGCACGCTGGGGTAGTTACATACTTCAGTCTAACACTTAACTATGAATAGTAAGGGTCCTAACTCCAAAACCCTAAAGTTGTACAATTCTTCTGAACCTTTGCAATTACTAAAAGAAAACTTCATAGATTTTAAAATAAGACTAATTTTTCACAAACTCCAAAAAAAAAAAAACAAAAAAAAAACAAAAAAACTTTAATTGGCACAAAATGACTAAGGAAAAAAAAAAATCCCGCTGTTTTGGAACTGGGGATGTAGCTCAGAGGTAGAATGCCTGCCTAGCACACAGGAAGAAGGGAAGCCCTGGGTCCAGTCCCTAGAGTAGCCAACCAAAGCAAAACCATCTGTCTTATCCATAATCATAAATAAAATATTTGTATTTTTTGCAGTTAGACAGCAATAAATCCTACATCAAAAAACTTTCCCTGATAAAACGTGTGTAGAACACACACCAGTAGAGCAATATACCATTCTTCACCTTCCTAAGCTAAGCTATTGGTTAAAATTTCTTCTTGGATTTTACCTATATACAAGTCAACATTCAAAAGGGGACAAAGAGGGAAGGAGAGGAGTTATCAGGATCTATGACACCCATGAGACACAGTAAATTTTCACCCAAATCATACAAAGTATTGACCCAGAAAGACAGTGCATTCCAATTAAAGAATGTCTATCAAAACTACGAACTTTCATATTTACAGACAAGAGCCTTCTGTGAAGGACGGAGCCAATGTGACTTCTGTAATTCTTAAGCAATTTAAACATGATTGCAAGAGTCAATCCACAGTATATTTAAGTATTTTCATTAGTAGATTACTTTCACATTCTTGACCACCATCCTAATAGGCTGTATTCTATTTTTAAAAAGAAAGAAAGAAAGAAAGGAAAGAAGAAAAAAAAAACAAAAAAACAAAAAAACAAAAAACAGTGAGGCAGGCATATATTCCAGGACTTATTGTAAAGAGAACACAAAGCTCCTGTCACAAAAGAACAAGCTAAAGCAAACCAGCCACACCACTGAAGGTCAAGCTTCTCATGGCGGCTGCATGTTAAAGAAGTGTGTATTTAAAGAGGGATACAGGACGGAAGGATTAGAGACGTCAGGCAGGGCACACCCAGAACCTTTACAATGAGCCCAAAAGCTCATGCTCACACAAAACCAGCCCATTTAGACTCAGATACTCAAGCAGTGCTGACTGCAGAGTATAGGAATGCACCAAAGTTAAGAAATAGTGATCCCACTAGAGAGGGCTTAAAAAGTCAAACCTCAGAACAGACTAACATGTTAGAGCTGGTACCCCAAGGAAGCATCCATGTATCCTACACACACACACACACACACACAAACACACACACACACACACACACACACACACACACACACACACACACACGTGCGCACGCTCACAGAGAAGACGGGTTAGTTTCTGTAACGAGACAGACATTTCCATAAAAGGTTGGTCTAATATGAAACAAGCTCAAGTGAACCAAACCAATGGAGAGAAAATGAAAACAAAAATACAAGATCAAGTTCAATGGCAAGAGCTAATTAGTTGGTCCACAAAGAGCCAAGAAAAACTCCCTAATTTCAGTTAGATATTGCACACTTTAAAAACAAAAGAGGACATTTAGAAAACAACCTTAAGTTTCTTTAGTTGCTGACTGCCTCTTTGGCTAGTATCTGGATCATTACTTAGTCCTATGACACATTTCTGGCTTTCTGATCATTTGTTTATAAACCACTGAAGTATCTTATCTCTTCCAGTGAACATATTGCAAAGTGGACCTTACACTGTAATCACACAGACAATGTTAGAAAGTATGAGTAGCAAAATGATTTTTAAAGGTATTATTCTTTTCTTTCCACTTTCAAATTATCTTCAGCAGTTTCTAAGGACATGGTTACAGCTGCCCGAAGCATGTCTTCTTCACTCGAAGCATCACCTGCTGGGAAAGAAAACAGTTCTCAGACACATTTCTGAAAGATTCTCAATCACAAAAAGGCAAACTTTTAAACTAGGGTGTAGCTAAGTCGGTACAGTGCTTGCCAAGCACACACAAGGCCCTGGGTTCAATCCCTAGCATGGCATAAAATCAGTCATGGAGTCTCCTGTAATCCTAGCACTCAAGAGATAGAGGCAGGAGTCTCAGAAGTTCAGGTTTGTCCTTGACAATACAGCACTTGAGGCCAGCCCAAGCTACAGGAAAACTGTCTAAAATGACGGGGGAAAAAAAAGACTTAACTGTGTAAATCTGCAGGTACCATGTGCCATGTGTGCAGAGGGCAGAGGACAGAGCGAGCTAGTGCCCGCCTTCCAGCAGATGGTTCTTGATGACTGTGTCAGGTGTCAGGTTTGACAGCAAGCACCTTTCTCTGCTGAGCCATCTTGCTGAGCCTAGTTTCTTTCTTTCTTTCTTTTTTTTATTTAATAATTCACATGCTATTTGTGTGACAGTTTAAAATCCACAAATGGATAGAGAACAAAATAGTATATAAGACACATACCTATTGCTCCTCCTTGTCCAGTTCCTTTGTGACCAACCCAAAGCCCAATCACATGTCTGTTTATAGTTCTACCTGTCTGGCAAGTCATAGTCTCACACAGTATACACAGCCGTCCGAATGTAGACCTCTTCATTTATCATAACGCATTTTACATTTGTTGTATTTACTAATAAATCAGACATTTTAGAAAACCTTTTTACCTGTAAACAATTAAATTCACAGGAAGTTGCAATGATAGGGGTCCTGTGGACCTGTCAGCTCAATTTCTCCCAACAGTTACATCTTTATAACTAAAGTTCAAACTGAAACATGGACTATAGCACAATGTTGGTGGTTCTAAATGGAATTTAAAAAATCTTTTTCTTTTTTTCTTTTTTGGCCGTTTTGTTGTAATAAAGAAAAAATGCCTAATGTGGCATTATATCACACATGTAAACTCCATCACCACCACCACCACAACTAGAGGGCTCGGGGCATGTTAAGTTGTGGGGAATGAACATACTGAATGAACACAACCATGTCAAGGACCCTACTGTTTCAGACACATGGGAATGGCAAAGCCTTCCCTGGGTCAGGCTCAGAGAAATGTTCCTCTGGTCCAAGAGAAATGCCAAAGCCTTCTTCTGGTCCAAGTAGGGGTGTTAATGATGAACAGTTGACCATTAGCTAAAACCAGTGTGAGCAGAAACTATCAAGGCAGCTTCCTTTTGGATAACTGCGATCTGAGACTGCTCCCCTACAGAGACCATCTATCAACATCAGCTAACTACATCACACCACACCCACAATGACATGTATGCACATGCCTCCTCCTTTATGCTCTATTTAATAAATGCACTCAATTTCCATCAGAGCACATGGCCTACCCAACACCAGCTTTGCTCTGTGTTATTTCTTCATTCCCCATCACCCCGTTTAGAGCAGTCCCTAAGCTGTGAAAGGCAGAGCACTTGGTGGTATCATTTTTGCCTAGCATGCACCAGGCCCAGGTTTGATTCTAGGTACTACAAAAACAAACCCCATAAAACCATTACATCGCCACAATGCCCTCCCTCTTACGCTGCTTTCTATTCACACCCAACTTTCCACCACTGATGGGCACTGACTTTCTGTATATGTTTATGTAATTGGTTGATGAATGAAACACTATTGGTCAATAGGGCAGCAAGATAGGCAGACCTAGGAGTTGAGGATTCTAGGAGATGTAGGCAGAGAGCAGTCACCATGTGATCACGGGAAGGGGGACACGCATGAGTCTGGTGTTCTCCAGTAAGATAAGACTGCGCAGAAATACACAGATTAGTAGTTATGGGTTATTAAGACAGCTAGCCAATAAGAAGCCCTAGTTATCAACCAACAGCTTTATAACTAATATAGCATCTGATGCAGCTGTGGGACCAGGCTGGCAGGAAGAAACATCCATAACACACCACCTTGTATGTGGCTACACTATCTTATTCTGTATCTGAAATCACTTGGGAGTTTTAGAATGCTATACTAATGTCAGCCTGAAACCTTTCTAGACAGTCTTCAACCTGGCAAAATGGCCCTGAGGTCCAGCCCAGATGCTGCATGCATCAAGATTGGCTTCTTTTTTAATCAGGAAAGTAATACTCTATGGCATGAAGTACTACAGTTAGCTTAATCATTTATTCACCTAATATATAGTTGTCTCCAAATTTTAATTAAGACCAATAAAATAGCTATGAACGATTGTATATATACTTTTGTGTAGACATACATTTTTAAATCTGTGGCATAAATATCCATGAGTATTGGTTGGGTCACATGGTCAGTATATATTCAGCTTGCTTTTTTTTCTTGAGACAGGGTCTCACTATGTGGCCCTGGCTGGCCTGCAACTCACTATGTAGATTAGGATGGCCTTGAGCTCATAGAAACCCACCTGCTTCTGCTCCTGGAGTGCCAAGATTAAAGGTGTCCTAGTGTAGGATCAGATTTTTAAGAAACAAGTCAATTACTTTCTGAAGTTAAAATGCAATAAAGAAAGCTTACCTCACTTTCTGTCCCTTAGCCTCCCTTATTCATAACTGTCAAATATACAATCAAACCAGATCAGCGATACAATTTTTGTTTCAACAATCAAATATAATTCAGAAAATTCAAAAGAAGGGAACTGTATTTAACATCTTTCACTCTTCCTATTCTTGCCTCAATATTACCTCATTTCTTTCCCATTTTGAGAATTTTCTTAAGTTTTTTTTTCTTTTTAATTGAAAATACTTTTTTCAAACAATATACTCTGATCAGGGTTTCCCCTTCCTCACCTCCTCAGACATCCTCCCCACCTTCCTACTGATCCAGTCATGCTTTTCTTTCTCTCTTTCCTGGGGGGGGGGGGGAGAAACAGGAAAATTTAAAAAACAAAACCCACAGAACAAAGGAAACAGAAAGAAAAGGAGAAAAGCACACCACACATACATATGCATGCAGAGACAAACATGCACATAGAAAACCCATTAAAAAAAAAAAAAACCCCACAAAATTAGAAACCATAATAGATAAGCAAAAGACAAGTAAGGTTTAAGGAGAAAGAAAAAAAAAAAAAAAAAAAAAAGCCAGAGCATTAAGAGACACTTCTTCAAAAGGAACACTGAATTTGAGTTGGTTGTCTACTGGGCATGGGGCTGCCCTTCGATATGATTCTATACCCAATGAGACTCCAGTGGAGAAAACTGATTTTCCTTCTGCAAGTGGCTTTCAATTGGAGAGAGCTTCTGAGTTGGGGATGGGAGATCATATCCATGTCCCCATCTCATTGCTGAGACCGCTCAGGCTTGGCCTTGTGCAGACCCTGTGCACGCTACCACCATCTCTTTTGAATTTTATGTGTGTATTCCAGTGAATCTGGAAGGCACTGTTTTCCTGGTATCTTCCATCCCCATTGGCTGGTACCATCTTTCTGTCACACCTCCTCAAAGTTCCCTGAGCTCTAAAAAGGTAGAGTTTGATGGAGACAACCATTTAGCACTGGGTATCTAAGGTCTCTCACTCTCTGCATTGTCCAGTTGTGGGTCTCTGTAACTGATGACTCTGATGATGGCTGATTTCCTTCCATGTAGCCACCCTGGTTTTTATTTTTTTAAGACAGGGTTTCTCTGCGGAGCCCTGGCTGTCCTGGAACTCACTTTGTAGACCAGGCTGGGCTTGAACTTAGAGATCTGCTTGCCTCTGCCTCCCGAGCGCTGGGACTAAAGGTGTGTGCCACCATGTGCAGCTCCTTTTCTTTAGCACAGGACTGCTAGAGACACCCCCCCCCCCAATTCTACAGAGTATGTTAATCACTGCACCCAGTATGTAATCCTGGGTTTTAAATTTTCTTTAAGCACTTTAAAACACATTTATCCACTCCTTCACTCACAAGAAATTTCTCCACTTCAAATTGATGTTGGAAAAGTTATTCTTACTGATGTGGGCAGTATCTTAAATTCTCAGAGTCTATGAGTCTTGCCATTTATTTCTTTGGATTTATACTAATCTGAAGTTCACTCTCAACTTCTCCAATTTGTAGGTTTCTAGCTTACTTTCTGCCCTTGAACTTATTTGTGGGATCAGGTGTGACAGTGTAACCATAGTTTCAGCACTCAGGGGTCAACAGTAGGACAACGCTGAATTTAGGGCTCATCTGGGATACACAGTGATGAGACTCTGACTCAAAGTAAAAACAAGAACCAACAATGATTGAAGTTTTCCATGTGGCCCCCTTTTCACAGTTCTTGGAATGACACTGGTTTTCAACTGAACCCTAGACACACGGATACTGTCAAACTGACAGCGTTACTCAAGTTTGGTTTGTGGACCTCCTCTGACACACAGAGGTGCTTGTGTGGGGTATGTGTACATCAACTGCAGTCGGTCAGAGGTGTCAAATCCACCTGCGGCAGAGTTAAGGATTCTTCATAGTGTGCTCTCCAGTGCAAAATACATCTCATACAACAATCCTTCAACAATTGACTGCCGTCTTACTGTCAAATTCTGAGAGTTGTACATAGATTCTCCGTGAAGTCCTCTGACAGACAGAGTTTCTTTTCCACTCAACTTCTCCCAATACTTGGCTCAAGTTAAGACGTATTAAATCAAGGCTGGTGACTAACCTGTACTTCCAGATACTATCTAGATTACACTAAAGTATGTTTCCCTTTATCAAGTAGTGGAGGGTATTTATTTTCTATTTACCAATATTCATGGACCATCTCTGGAGGAGTTTTGAAGAATGTGCTATCTGTAAAGTTCAAGTACTATGTGTGTGATTTTAATACCAACCAGGGCGTGGTGGTGCATGTCTATAATGCTATTACTAAAAATGCCCGAACAGGAGGACCATTAATTTGAGACCACTATAGGCTACACAGCAAGTTCCAAGCTAGCCCTAAGACTATACAGTGAAACTGCTTTGTTTTTTTAATTAAATAAATAAAACATAAAAATTCACGAAGTGTCCTAGTCTGTCTGCTTCTTATGTCTAAGGAATTTAGTAGATAACAAATCCATTTAAGAGTTTTAATACAATTAAAGAAGGAAGAAAATATAAAGGAAAAATGACATGGACCTTGGGTGTCAAGTAAAGCAATTGAGTAACAATCGTGGTGAATGGCCAGAGAGCCATACCTTGGCTGTTCCCAAGTCCTCCTGAACTTGTGGTCGGCCTTTCACAAGCGTATGAAAGCTGTCTAGGTTGGTCTACCTCGTGCTGCTGCTGTTGCCTGGAACATTCAAAAGAGAATATATGTTAAAACAACACCTAAGAAATAAATATTCCATGAGAATACCTATTCATGTAGGACATAAGCTATTCCATAAATCAAAATAAACACTGGTCTGAACACCTCAGAAGGTGAGAATTAATTTGACAATTATAAATATAAAAGGGTCAAAAATTTTATTCTTAAAAAAAAAAAACCTATATATGTGACTTATCGGACAAGAAGTAGGTATGTTCATTTCCTGTGTAAGGTTCTCTAGTAGTTTACTCATGTGCAAATGAATGTTGCTTTATGCTTCTTTAATATTAGGAGCCACTGAAAAATACCTTTGATAAGACAAACCATCTAAATTTACTATGCTCCTCCCTGGTTGGCTCCCTGTGGTCATTCAAGTCTGAATTTAGCAAGCTTCTCCCTGGAGACCCCTCTCCTGACCACCCCGCTTCAAGCCCACCTGGCCATCCCACTATTTCACTTTAATTCCCAGTACAAACCTACTGCCTCCTTGATGCTTCCTCTGATCTGTGAGCACAACCTTTATGCTGCTTACCTGTGTCCCCAGGTGACTGTGTCTGTCACACAGCAGCTTCATCACGTACTTGATACAGAAATGGAAACAACAGTGCTACTGCATGTTGGAAGTGTGTGCTCTGTGCTTTGATTTTGCTTTTAAAAGAGCTTACAGTTAACCTCAGAAGACATTCTTTCCAAGCAGTGCTCACTTACGTGTGCACTATGACATATGAGCCTACGGGGCCGGGGAGTAAAATGTGGTGGTTTGGATGTGAACGCCCACCCCCACAGGTTCATATAGGTGTGGCCACTGGAGGGAGTGTGCCACTGGAGGGTGGGCTCTGAGGTTCCAAATGCCATGCCAGGCCAGTCTCTCCCTTCCTGCCTCTGGATTCGGATGTAGACCTCTGGGCTACTTCTCCAGCACATCTGCCTATGTGCTGCCGTGCTCCCTGACACGGTAACAACAGACTACCCGCTGAAACTGTAAGCAAGCCCCAAACAAATGCTTTCCTTTGTAAGAGCTGCTGTGCTCACACTGTCTCTTCACAGCAATAGATCACTGACTAAGATACTCTCAAAAAGTAGTGAGCTGGCAGTGGTGGCTTCTGCCCGTGGTACAAGCTCCTCAAGAGGTCAAGGGAAAAGGCTGCCTGAGCCCAGGAAGTCAATACCAGACTGGGCAACATGTCGATTCCTATCTCAAAAACAAAACAAAGCATGCAGGAGTATATCCTTGTGTTTAGAAAAATGTACGCTGAAATACTAAGCTACAATGAGAAAGAATACAAGTTACTCCCAGATGCTTCTGTTATGTCAATAATCTAGGTAAAAATGTACTGGGAGCTACAAGGAGCTCTGCCGACTAGCTCTACTTTTAAGTAATAAACATACACAGAAAGCTAAAAAAGAAATATATAAATGACCGAGATTAAGAAGTCATAGATTTAAAATTTTGAGTATGATTTTAAAAGGACCAGGATTCAGTTGTAAACACTGTTCCTCTCAATTTTGAAAAAAGGGTCTCTAGTCAGGTTGCTGGCCTAGGGTGACCCTGAACTCTAGATCTGCTGGCCTCTACCTCCCAAGTGCCCCATGCAAACACCATACCCAGCTTGTCCGTCTCGGTGTTGAGTTTTAAATGTGAGCACAGAGAACTCAGCGAGCAGGAAGTCCCCTCCTCCCTGCTTCCTTCTGCCGTTGTGAGCCTTCAAACATGGGCAGTGTGGAGCATGGCCTGAGCTCTGGGGACCCTGGTACATCATGGAGACCCCTGCATGCCCTCTTCTCCCTCCACTTCAGAGTCTATGGCTGACAGATAGATAACCTTTAACCTTCTATTATCATCCAGTCATTATAACTAAGTTATGTAAAACAAGAAGAAAATCAGCTGCACGCCTTTAGTCCCAGAGGCAGGCGGATCTCTGTGAGTTCAAGGCCAGCCTGATCTACAAAGCGAGTTCCAAGACAGGCTCCAAAACTAAAGAGAAACCATGTCTTAAAAAATTAAAAAAGAAATAAAGAAAGAAAGAAAATGAGCTGCCAACCTTGAACAACCTCTGTGAAGTACTGAGGACACTGCTGTGGAATGCGCCCCTCAGCGCCCTTCCCGCCATGCCTTCAGTCCTATAGAGGCTGCAGAGCAAGGGCCTGGTTTCTGGTTACAGAGCAAACACTCAGATGAGCTAGAAGGGCAGAAGTGAGTCAACATGCACAGCTGTTTTCCTGAGACGCAAAGTCAAGGCGATTCAGTCCTAAGTCCTACCTCATGGCTGTCCCCGGGAGCCCAGAAAGGCTTCACAACTACGATATGGCTTCTGATCGCAGGGTCACAGTTATAGCTGGGTTTTGTTTATTTATTTGTTTGCATGTTTACTTGTTTAAGATTTAGTTAGGGCGTTACAAGTGGTGGTGTATGCAGTTAATCTCAGCAGAGGCCTGGGATATTTATGAGTTTGGGGCCAGCCTGGTCTACATAATGAATTCAAGGACAGCCAGGGCTACATACACAGAGAAGCCCTGTCTTTGGGGGAAAAAAACCTAGACCAAAAAAAAAAAAAAAAAAAAAAAAAGATTTAGTTAGGGGCTGGAGATGGTTCAGTAGTTGAGGGCACTATAGCTCACGTGCATGTAGTACACATATATACATGCAGGCAAAATACCCGTAGATATAAAATAAAATTGAAGGAAGATATTTTTCTAATTTATATATACATAAGACATAAAAATGTTTCATATTATGAACGTGTATGGTGGATACCTTCAGAGTGAGAATAGAGTTTAGTGTCCTCTGAAGCTTGGGTGTGAGCCATATGGGGATTCTGGGACCTGAACTTGGGTCCTCTGCAAGAGTATCTGATCCCAGTCATCCTAATGAGCAGTGGTCCCAGCCCTTCTCACAACACACTTCTCAAAACATGACACTCCTTGGCTATGAATGTCTGCATCCATCCTGCTGGCAAACACTATTTCTTGTAACAGGCAGATGACAGCATTCAAAACTATTCCTGGAGAAGACATTTATGGTCCTAACAGATATCTGTGGAGCATGTAACAGACCCATCACTTAATTCTATGCTCCCAACTGCAGGCATTGGGAATGCTAGTGTGGACTCTGGCTTGGGGTTATATGACTGATAAACAGATTTACAGATCACTGCTAGAAAAATGTCATGTCAAGGAGCTATTACTTTGTGACACTTATCATAAGCTATGAATTTATAATAGGCTAGTTTTTAGTAGTAATTTTTTTACACAAGAAATCCTATAATGTGTTTTACTTGCTATCTACATTAAGTCTAAGGCTTTTAACAACTCGATGGGGGAAGATAGTGATGAACTGTGAGTAACAAGTTAGTACCAGGTCAGTCAGACAATCTTACAGCCAACAGCCCAAACACAGGATCTAGAGAGCTAGGGAACCATTCGCGATAAGCAATCGGGGATTTGAGTAAAAGGCAAGAGCAGCACACAGATAGCCAATGAGCCGTTCTCAGCCCCTTGGCACCCTGTTCTTAAACTCAGTAGCATTTTTAAATGCTAGTCAATGATAAACACAAAGTTAACTCTTAATTCATCTCAGCACTATGTGACTGAGTAGAACATTCCTTAGCTGTCATTAAATTCCCAGCAGAGGATAAAAGCCTAGAAACAATCTTCAGTACACAATCAACCACTAGGAAAAAAAGGCATGCTTTTTAAAAGGGTGCAAGGTTGGCTAAAATCTCTGTCATCTCAAAAGCACTAGTTATGTTTTTTAAGTTGTGATTGTTATAGCCCAATATTCACCATGGGATCCTACTAAATTATCTTTACTACTACTAAAGTATAAACCTCCTGAAGTTTCAAATTTTTATTTCAAAAAAGTTAACAAAATGTGTAAAAAATAGGACAGGCTCCAAAGCAATACAGAGAAATTCTGTCTCAAAAAACAAACAAAACAAAACAAAAAAACCCAAAATGTCTAAATAAAAGGGATGGGTGACAAAGTACAGCATATGAAGATTCTTCCTGTTAAGCATGACAACCGAGTACAATTCACAGGACCCACATGGTGGAAGAGAACCAACTCCTGCCAAGTGACCTCTGTGCCACACACACACACACTCTCTCACAAACACAATACTCCCTCTCACACACATATACACACATACATTCTCTCACACACACACAGTCACAAACACACACTCAGAGAAAGAAAACATGAATACATGTATGACGAAGGGAATGTATGCAGTCACTTCTATCACTTATTGAAGAAAGAGATAATGGGAATATACTTAAAAAAAAACTCTTAAATATCTAGAATACCAATTTTGCCTACTTAAGTAGCTTGATATTATTTTTAAAACTAGATATTTATATAAAATGGTTGAGTATCCCCATTATTTTGTGACAACAGCATTACTAGGGGAAAAGAAGACAGAAACCCTGGGTCTGGTGTGCACCCTGGCAATGTGCCACTGGGAGTGAGAGATGGGATGACTGGGAGTTCAGGACCAGCCCTGGCAGTGAGGCTGGTCAAAAACAAAACAACCCTACAGGAAAGAAAAAAACACTCCAGGTATTTGGGGGCACACGCTAAGTAGCAACGTCATGATGACTGTGAAGTACAGGTCCACGCCTGTGAGCGAATGGAAAGAAATGGGAGTCAGAGGCTCAAAACCTGGGCCATGTGCTGATATTTATTAAATTTGGGTAATAATTATGGGTGTGTTACGCATAAATCTAAGGCTTATCATAATTTAAAGAGTTAATTTTAAAATTCAAAAGGACATGAAAAGCACTAATAAGCACTATTTTAGGATGTAAATATAATTAAATCTATTAATCAGTCACTGAATAAAGACTAGAAATATCTCACATTAAGAGGATGTCAGCTGATCAGAACTTTCCTTCATATACTTCTGAGCTGTGACTTAAAAAAACAGAAAAAGGTAAACATTATCTTCACAATACCAGCAGATGCAAAATGGTCCAAATTTTACACCACTAATCGCCAACTACAACTCTTAAGACGTGGCAGCTCATGTTCAGAGAGCTGTTGATGCGTGGCCACTGCTGCTGTTCGGAGGTTGAAGCCTAGCCTCACACCTGCTGGGTATACTCCCTGCTGAGCTGCATCCTAGACGGTCAGAGTTTGAAATGTGAAAATAAATGCATCACTGATTGATGAGATGTGGTATACAACTGTAGAGCCCATCTCTAGCCTTATCTTTCTGATGTGAGATCATAGTTCAATGATCTATTATTGATCATAATTATTGAACACATTATTGATATTATTGATCATATTATGGAGTTTGATTTAAAAAATAATCAAAAGTTGAGCACGATGATATATATATATCTGTAATCCTAGCACAAGGGAAGCAGAAGCAGGAAGATAGCCAGGAGCTTAAGGTCAGTCAGACCTAATGATAAAACCCTGTCCAAAAAAAAATAAAGATTGAAAAAAAAAAAAGACTAGAAAGGAAGATACTGTAAAACTGTAAATACAGCTGGGTGGTGGTGGTGCACACACCTTTAATCCCAGCACTCAGGAGGCAAAGGCAGGCAGATCTCTGTGAATTTGAGGCCAGCCTGATCTACTAAGCTACACAGAGAAACCCTGTCTCAAAAAGCAAACAAACAAAATAAAACGCAACAACAAATCCTGTAAATACTTACTTCTTAGTATGTATAGACTGGGTACAACATACAGTTCTGGGAGCTGATAGTTCATGTTTGTGGTTTCCCTGATGCTGATGGGCCTTCTAAAGTGACAACCAGCAGGACCACGGGTGTTAGGCCCCACCTTCCTCAAATGCTGTTTTCCCTGTAAACTGCTGGGAGCTTAGCAGGGCCAATGTGTCAATAGGCAGTTGGCGCTCCTGTCCCAAGTCCATTTCTCTTCTGATAAGCAAATCCCACAAGCTTTCCTATTCCATGTAAATTTATTCTCGAAAACTGCTAAATATTTCACACGTTCTGTGCTGTAAATCTTAAAAATAAATGCCTGGCAGGGGTGGCACACACCTTTAATCCCAGCACTTGGAAGGCAGAGGCAGGCAGATTGCTGAGTTCAAGGCCAGCCTGGTCTACAAAGCAAGTTCCAGGATAGACTCCAAAGCCACAGAGAAACCAAACCCTGTCTCGAAAAACTGAAGAAAAAAACAAAAACTTAAAATTTGTATGTTCACAAGTTCAGGCAGTAAGCAGTAATTTACAAACAGACAAAATCAGCAAGTATGAAATATGTAACTTTAATCTGTACCAACTACTTTACTTTTCAAAGTAGGCTTCTCTCCTCTTCCGCAGCTCTTCTGAAGAGAGACTGGTGCTGGATGTCTGTGGACTATCTTGAGACACACTTCTGGGACTACCTAAAAAAGCCAATCACTATAAATACCTGTTCAAGAAGCAGCATGCCTGATCTTCCTGGAGCAAGCCTCTACAAAGTTTTCTTCTTAAGAACATCCCGCTCCTGTTGTGTGAATGTCTCAGGGAAAATCTAACATGTTACTACAGCCATGACTAATGCTAATGTGATGCAGATATGAGAAGTCATGCATGTTCTGTAACTTCCCAAAACTACATATACACCTTCATGGGCACCGTGCTCCTCAAAGTGAACTATGATGACAACCATAACGACCTTACTCTGGTCCACAACTTAGGGTTCTAAGTTCTCACCAGTAAGTATACCAAACGGATCCCATGTAAATCAGTATACCAAACGGATCCCATGTAAATCTGACAGTGGTAAGATGGTTTTGCTGGCATTACTGCAATAATGCAGCAGGTCCCTGCTAATAAAACATGGGACTTCACACACTACATGGAGTACGCAGAGGTAGGCCTGGAGGCAAGGAGTCTAGGATAAATAATGGCTATGTTAATGGATCCTCAGTGCACCAAGACATTTAAGAAATTTAGATAAGCAATCTCATTAAAAGTAGAAGCAGCTTCATATAAAGTAGATTAAAAGAAAATCACTACAATAAAGCACTTCATGCTTTCAGTAATCTGCTTCGAGTATCTCAACACTTCTCTCTGCCTACATTCCCAAGGAGGCTTACTGTCACTCTCCTCTGCTTATGGACTTATCAGTGACAAAGGTGTATCCCGAAAAAGAAGGCTTAAGTCTTGCTAAGCTGTACAGCCAGGAAGTGCTGGCATGCATTTGTTAAAACAGCTGGCTTGGTTAAGGGTCATCTAGCCACTAGAAGACTAATTCAATTACTTGTATTATTTCAGTTCCGCAATTAACATAACTAGAAGTAAAACCACAGCTGTGTTAAACTCAGCCCTAGTATAATACAGGCTATAAAGGGATTCAAGATCAAGGAAATCTAAAAGAAATACTGAAACTCCATTGCTTTTTCAGTAACTATCAAAGAGCTTCCAAAAGTACAGTAATTTCCAGAAAAGCTAACAACAATGTAAACCAGTTCTCCAAAAGTGACTAAAGTGAACACCAAAATGTTCATACCTTGCATACTGAGCTGAATGGCTCTGCGGAGATCAGCTTCTTCATCCTCCATGTCAATTTCCTGACGACTTATTGCTAGAGCCCTCTGTAAATCATCCTCATCTTCATCCAATATTCCCGCCCCGTCCGCTGCCTCTAGAACTCGCTCCAGATCTGCTTTGAGAACACTAAACAACAAATGTATTCATAAAAATTTCAGCCTGGCTGGGGCATTGGTGGGGCACGCCTTTAATCCTAGCACTAGGGAGGCAGAGGCAGGCGGATCTCTGTGAGTTCGAGGCCAGACTGGTCTACAGAGCTAGTTCCAGGACAGGCTCCAAAGCAATACAGAGAAACCCTGTCTTGGGGAAAAAAAAAAATTTCAGCCTGGCCTCCAAGTTTATTTTATTTTTCATTAAAAAAAATTTATGTGTATGGATATTTCATTTGCATGTGTATCTTGTACAATGTGTGTGCAATGCCTGAGGGGCCAGAACAGGGTGAAGGATCCCCTAAGCCTGGAGTTACAGAAAGTTGTGAGCTACCAGGTAGGTGCTGAGATTCAAACCTAGGTCCTCTAGGAAAAGCAGCCAGTGCTCTTAACCACTGAGCCATCTCCCTAGCCCCATTGTTTTCAACTTTAAATAAAACATAAAGGCACTTACAATCTAAAGATTATAGATAAAAAAAAAAAAAAACACTCTGGAAGAGAAGGTCTAGTAAACGACTGAGTTGTAATATGAATCTAAGCCAAGATATTTAAGTAATTAATTCCATAAACTTCACTAAAACCCAGCCTCTCTGGGCACTGTGGCATGCATATCCCTGTTGAGCATCAGCTACTTGAAAGGTGAGGACAAAAGGATGTCGAAGTAGGCAACTTAATGAGACCCTGTCACCAGAAGCAAGGCGTGCGGACTAGGACCTTGATCAGTGCTGGAGTGCATGCATGAAACCCAGGATGGAAACACAAACCCTACACACACATTTGTAATCCTAGCCAGCCCCAGCTAGATCTTTTGTTCTTGTTTCAAGACAGGGTTTCTCTGTGTAACAGTCTTGGCTGTCCTAGAACTTGCTTTATAGGCCAGGCCAGGCTCAAATTCACAGAGAGCTGCCTGCCTCTGTCTCCCAAATGCATGTGCCACCACTAACTGTTGAGATCTTATTTTAAAAATCAAATAAATCCATAGGCTCCTCCAACAATATGTGGGCATGTCAAACTGCCTTCTAAACACATTTAGACCTGCAAATTAGTCCTACTCTCAGAGAAGCTTTCATGCAGCCAGTTCTTGGTTGCCCACCAGAACTAAATAATAAGATCTAATTGGTAGAGAGAAATCAATCAGGAACTGAGCTGGAGCTTCTATCTTGCTGGCCAGCTGTCATTTGCTGGAAGGTGCCATGTAGACTGCTAGAGGAGAGAATCATCACCGGTCTTAGCGAGACCCTGTATGCTCTGCTACATTATCTTGCCAGACAATAGTGACATGACTATGATGGGGGGCAACCAACCAGTTTCTCTTTTCCTTTTTGTTTTTGTTTTGTTTTGAGATAGGGTCTCACTATGGAGCTCTGGCTATCCTAGAACTTAATACATAGACCTGGCTGACATCAAACTCAGAAAACTTCACATGCCTCTGCCTCCCGAGTGTTGGTGTTAAAGGCATGTACCACCATGCCTGGCTCAACCATTTTTTTTTTTTGGACGGGATTTGAGGGCTACTTCATAGAAATTCATACCTGATACTGAAAAAAAAAAAAAAAAACTGCCAAAAGCCCATAGGTCATAGGGCTAAGTGGGTAACAGGCCTAGATGGGGGGCACAATTACTACTGTTTTACTAAATGGCCATGTCAAATTCCCTTCTAAATACATTTAGACCTACAGATAGATACTTGGTCAGAAAAACTGTTTTTGGTGATGGGGGTCGGGGAGCAGGATGGGAGGGAGGAAGGGGACACACTGGTTGGGACATGATGACAGTTAATGCAAAAACTCAGTGGCTGCTAAGTGTTCAGACTTGAGTGGGACATCTGTATCAACCCTCACGGGACGTTAACAAGAACGTAGGAGCAGGAGATTCGGGAGCTGAAATGCTGTCTTCTGACGATGACATGGCTGCTACACATGAACTCACAGCAGCTATGGTTACCAGCATATAAACTTCACAAGATCAAGAGACCAACATTCCTGCATGGACAGGTAGGGGAGCACTCATGAGGCCTCCATCCCTAGCTGAAGAACTGCTAAGGGAGAGGGAGTAATTTTCCTTTAGGGGTGCAGCCACTAGTAGGTTTCCATGCAAGCAATCCTAATTAAACTCAGTGAGTAAAAGCAAGAGAAAGAAAAGAAGGGGACCTTCTGGGAGATAAAGGGATTCAGGGAGAACTGAAGGGGTTAGGAGAGGGGGATGCGGGATAAACATAAAAATAATTATATACATGTATACAACTGTCAAATAAAAACTGAAAATTACATAAGCATATCAGTCTTGAATTCCCTGTCGCCATCAGAGTATGTCCATATAGTTACATAGAATGATCAAAATTCTTAACAAATATATGAAATGAAAATAGGGATTTGGACCTAATTGAATAATAGAATATTTGGATAGTATGAACAAGACATTGATGTCTACCACAAAAACAACACCCAAAGTAAAAATAAGATCCAATAGAAATTAAAAAGCTACTGGTGGTAAATGATCAGACATTAAATATAACAGTGTCTGGAGAGATGGCTCGGTGGTTAATATCACTTCCTGCTCTCCAAAGGGACAAGTTCAGTTCCCAGCATCCACGTCCTGCATCTCACAATCGCCTGTAACTCTAGCTCCGTGGGATCCAACCCCAATACAGGCCTTAGTGGGAACACACACATATGGCATATACTCACGCAGACACGGAAAATGTAAGCATGGACATTTAATTCTCTTACGAGCATGCTGTATCATACATTCCACAACAATGCTAAACTTTTACCTCTGTTCTTTCAGTTGTGCCAATTCTTCTCCAATAAGTTTAGGTCGATGCATCTGCTGGACCTTGATCATCTGCAAAAGTTGGTCAGCTTCGCAGTCAGGCAGATCACCCTTAACAACAAATATAGAATAACCTAAAAAGAGGCAAAAATAAACTAAAACAACTAGTAGGAGCGTCAAACTTAATTTGAAATGATAGCTGACAGAAAGGTACCAGAGCACAGCAGAACATGAGGTGAGAGTTGGATCAGGAGGGTAGTCTCTAAAAAAACCACACACCAAGCCTTACCGTTCTCATCAGGTAGACTTGGTGGCTACAAGAATCAAAAGCCGTCCTGTCTACAAGGGCCCTAGAAAGGCAGAGCCTGACCACATGACTACTCACTGAAAGGGAGCAGACAGGCAGACAAAGGAGGAGTACAGAAAGGGACATGGACTCAAGATCTGCCAGTGCCCAGTACCACAGGGTCTGTCAATTATTTTGCTCATCTGTGTAGGTATCTTAAATTGCTGAACAGAAATAAAGGAATCTTCCTCAATGGCTGGTGTGAAGACACATTTGGGAAATATTTCCAGGGACTGGTAGCATGGAATACACAACTGAAATGGTATCTCCCCACCTTGCTCCCTGCCCTCCCACAGAGCCCTCCTAACTGAAAACAGGGGCTGGGAAGCCAGTACCCCAAATCTAGTCAGAGTGCCAACGTGCCTCATGCCTTGAAAAACAAAAGAAAATACACCGGTACAATGCAATTTGTAATAAATACACTTATTAAGCCAGGTTTTATCAGATACAACAAATTCCAATTTATTTAATGTTTTCTATCATTCATCTTCTTAAACTTCAATGAAACAAAGATTCAGAGGGCTGTTTACTAAAAGAATATGTTTAACACAATTTTTGGTAAAGCCAAGCTTATTCAGAGTTTAGGTGTCTTAACGTGCTTTATGCTAATAAAAGTATTTCTAAACCCTAGAATCAGAATGTCAACTCACTATGGTATCTACTGAGCAGGCCCTGAAAAGAAGAGATTCTGCCTTATTGCAGACAATTACTTAAGACTTTGGAATTAATTTTCAGTGTCAGGAAACCACTAACTTGTAAAGTAACTGTGTGACATACATTATGTTTTTATAAAAGCGCTATGGCTGCTTTATCAACATATAGAAACCAGGGTACAAGAATGATTCTTCCTGAAATGGAAGCCCGAAAGAAAGTACATATAGGCAGGCAAGCAACACCAACCAACCAAACCACAAACATAGAAGGCAAGTCCTTTGGGGCTGGGGACATGGCTCAGTGGTTAAGAGCACTTGCTGCTCTTCCAGAGGACTCAGATGTGGTTCCCAGCACCTGCATAGCAGCTCACAACAGTCTGTAACTCAACTTCCAGAGAACTGGGTGCCCTTTTCTGGCCTCCATGGGCACCAGGCACACACATGGTGCACAGACACACATGTAAATAAAACACTCATAAAATATTTTTAAAACATTTAAAAAGTCGTCTTGGACATGTTTGATTTGAAATTTTCCTGGACTGCCAAATGAAGACGCCAGCACGAGGACTGGTGCTCAGAAGGAGCGTCTAAGCTAAAGATAAAAGGAGGTCCGCCACTGAACCCTGGCACTGGCAGGGGTCACCAGTGACAGTGAAGAGAGAGACTTCTGAGACTCACTGGTTATGGCAACGCGACTGGAGGGAGTTCAATAGGAGACAATGCATCAGAGGTAATGAGAAAATTACAAATGGGCAAGTGGCTAGACTTTCATAGAGTTAAGAGAGCTCTATTTTACTCAGTGGAGGCAAAAAGCTTTTTCCCCATGGACAGACTTTTAGACAGCAGAAGAAATGTTCGGCTCAGGAGAGAAGGGCAAAAACAGAATGTTGACTGGGGGAAGGAACAGAGATATAGCATGCATGGGGGGGGGGGGCTGGCCGTACAGGTACAGTCTGTCCATTTAATAAGCTCAGAACACAAAAAGACACAGAAGCAAGGTGAAGAGAACTATGCCTATGTTCTCAGAAAAATACAAGAGCAAGGCATAAGGCATACCGAGTTGTAAGGAAAGGAGAGATAAGCTGTGAAATAACCACCAAAGAGTCATTTGAAATCTGTAGACACAAATGACAAATTAGTAAAACTAACCAACATACTTTACATAATTTTTAAGTCATGTTCAGTGCTATGGTACAGAAATGTCTAGGGCCAAGATTTGGTTTAACTGTGGTCAAGATTCTCATTACTTAAGAATGATGGGGGAGAGAAAGAAAGGAAGTTGAGGAATGCAATCGAATGATAATAATCAGGGGCTGGAGAGATGACTCTCCAGAGGTTAAGAGCACTGGCTGTTCTCACAAAGTATCCAGGTTCTAGTCCCAGCACTCACACAGTGGCTTACAACTATCCAGGTCCAGGAATCCCCATAACTCTCTCCAGCCTCTCTGAGAACTGCCTGCGTGTAGTACACAGAAACGTGCAGGTAAAACACCTTCCCATATAAAATAAAATTGGAAAATCTTTAAAAAGTAAAACAATCAGAGTAAAAACTGCAGAAGATAAGAGGAGTTTCTGAGTCTCACAGTAACTTGAAAGCCTGGTAAGAATGGCAAAGGAAAGGCACGTAGAAGTAGATGATGGTCAAAGAACACAATGCTAACGCCTGGGATCTGAAGGGAGTTAGTTATTTGTAATGTCAAGACAAGAATGAAGAAAATGGTCTTTGAAAGAGGGGTGGTTACAGGTATAGAAATGACTAAGAACTTATGAAAGAGAGACACATAACCAGTCATCTGGTTTCCAGTGACAAAGGAGGTGGCTCACGGGTGAGTACAGTAGGGTGTGGTTAATCCAAAGGCAGGTAATTCACAGGCACTGGAGTCCATACAAAGAATAGTGGCTGAAAATGAGTGAGCAGCAACAGGAGGAGCGTGCACCCCGTCAGTCCTGCGATGTGCAGGGTGTAGAGGGGAAAAGGTATCACTTAAGAAGGAACGCAAAGGAGGCCCCTGGCTAAGGGGAGGTCCCAATGAAGGGAGCACTCACACAGAACTGTGTCACCCAAACTGCAGCCCAGAGTTGAACACCTACACTCTAAGGATGATTCACTGCCACTGCCAGAGACCATGCACTATTAGACGTACAAACAATGACTCAGTTTTTGTTTAAGCAACTTTCAAAGATAAAATTTCTGGTATTTATTTACCTTCTTGCTGTAATTGAGCCAAGAAGAGTGCGAGGTATGTATCTGATATTAATTCTGGACCCGTCAGCAAAGAATTCAAGTTAAACCACTAGAAAAAGATACCAATATTGATTAATGAAGATTATACGCAAAAATAAATCCTCATGTTAAATCTACAACTTACGAAAATTTAGTAAGACTGTATATCAAACTAAGATTCTCTAAAGTATTGAATACTGTGATTCAAAACAAACAAATGCTGTACATCTGTCACTATTAAATGCTTTTTAAAAAAGTTTTAGACAACAAATTAAGGCATAAACTTGAACCTCTTTTAAAAGGACAGAAGCTGACAGTACGTTAAAATGCCTTTATTGATAGCTATAACTACATGGTTTTAAAACATCAGGCCAACACACCTACACACGTCAAGATGATATAGGAAAAAATGACAGCTACACACTTTTATTTGGTCAAAAGACTCCAATTTTTAAAAGGTAGACATCCTGGGAAGATGTTTATAATCACTGTTTCATTTTAAAAAGACCACTAAGCTACCACTGCCTGTGACTAACAGCATTAAGTCACCACTCTGAGGTGCCCTTACTTCAACGGAAAAATAGAAAAAGGTTCCAAAGTCATACTCAGTTCCATGAACAACCAACGACTCTTCTGGATTTTGATACACGCCAGAATACTTGTTCCAATCATTTCTTTCTTTACACAGAGACCAGAGGCTAGCCTAGGAACTCACAGATCCACAAAGCCTCTGCCTCTAGAGTGCTAGAAACGCACAGCTAAAAATCTGTTCTTAAACAAGAACATAAGTCAGACCCAAGGACCAATATGCCAATAGGACCATCTTCTGTAACTGTCAAAAATAAAACTGTTCAAAATTTAAAAACTACAAAAAAGAATGAAAAATGTAAAAAGCTCAAAACAATGTTTTACAAATCACTACAAAGTTGCTTGAGTTTTAAATTTCTAGGCCTTAAAAATCCAGTCGTTAGTTTATTCAGAAAAATGACCTCAGTCCTAATTTTCTAAAGGGACAAATAAACCCTAAATGGCTGGGAGGAAGGAGGCCAAAAGAGCTTCGCAGAGGTGACTCCTGTCCCGGGCTACTACACATCTCCTTCTTAAGAGAATGCAAATACTCTTTCCTTAGTTTTTGGAGCAAGAGACTGAACCTAGGACCTGGTGCTTGTTATAAGCACAGACCCTGCCAATAACCTACAGTACTGGCTTCCAGATGGCCCAGTGAACAGCTAACAGTACAGGTTACTTAAAACACACACACACACACACACACACACACACACGCGCACGCACGCACGCATGCACGCACGCACGCACGCACGCACCCACACACACAAACACAGTGTCCTTTCCTTTTAAATACTTAATTTTATGTGTATGTATGTATGCTCACCATGCATATGCTTGGTGCCCATAGAGGTCAGAAGGGGCATTGGCTTCTATGGAACTGGAGTTAGTCGGTTCTAGGAACTCCTCTGCAAGAGCAGTAAGGTCATACCCACTGAGCCATATAACCAGGTTCAATGCATTGTTTCTTTTCTTTTTGCATTTAATCTAATTTACTTATTCTTAAGGCGGGGTCTCACTGTGTAGGTTTGGCTGGCCTACAACTCAAAGATCTCCTGTCTCTGCTGGGACTAATAAAGGTGTGCACCACCACACACAGCATTTTTGCCTTTTATTACAAACAAAAACACAGCTTTATTGAGGCACAACTGCCATGAAATAAACTGCCGTCCCTCTCCTCCTGCGTCTCTTCAGGGTTTCATTATGTATGTAGTCCAGGCTGGCCTCAAGGTCTTCCTAGGTCAGTCTCCTGAGTGTTGAGCCACAGGCATGGGCCACTGTACTTGGATAAACTGCACTTACTTTTATTACAACCTGTCTGTTTTCCTTTTTACAATTAGTCATTAAAAAAAAAAATTTTGTATTATCCCCATTAAACCATCAACATGAACAAGAGAGCCAACACATTTGTCACAGTCCAGTCTCTTGACCCCTCTTATTACAACCTGTCTGTTTTCCTTTTTACAATTAGTCATTAAAAAAAAATATTTGTATTATCCCCATTAAACCATCAACATGAACAAGAGAGCAAACACATTCATCACAGTCCAGTCTCTTGACCCCTCTGGAGACTTTCTCTGGTGTTCCCTCTCTCCATCCCCAGTCTTCACAAGCACTGGTCAGTAGTCTGTTGTCTGTCACTGTACCTAGTGCCCATTTCTGAGATTCATTGCTTATGTATTAGTAGTTCATTACCTTTGACTGCATGAGCTGGTTTCTAATAACCCTTATCCGGTTTTAACATTCTAATAAGAACTTTACATGACTGCTCCTTTCACAAGCCTATTCAATGGTGTTTTTATGCACCATTTAGTGGAATCCTGTGAATAATCCTACTAATGCTAACTGCTAAACGTTTTGCTTATCTCTGACATTTCAGGCTTTGTTACAACTGTAGTAAATACAAATCATCACATGAAAACATACTTAATAGTAACCACGTATGCATTGCTTTAAATACAGAATTTTTCTTATAACTTGTATGGTTTTTATTTTAAAGATCTGAAGAGAAACTGATTATCTTTCTTAAGATAGCCAGTTTTTACTGCTGAATCGAGGCAAGGCTCAGGTTAAGTGCATGGGATCCTGGCCTTCATTGTAAAGACGTCAATCGCTTGCATTTTAGTTTTAAATGAAGTATGGAGTGTGATAAAAGGACAAGAAAGGAGAAGAAATATTACCTGTTTTCCTAATTTTCTAACTGTAAACCAGTGTTCTTTATAATTGCATATAAAGGATCTTTCATTTCTAGAAAAGACAAAACGTATACTATTAATACTGTTAAGCTTGGATTTTATGAGATATATACTAGCAAGTACTATATAATTTCTATCAGTTAGGATATAGTTACACTTAAGTGTTGCTGATTTTAAAAAATAAAAATTACATAACTCTACACACTTTCTACAGGAGCTTACTGATGTTATGCCCCAAAGCCTCCACGCCACTTGGGTCAATGCCACCACTGACACTGATTAGAAGGCAGCTGCTCGAGGCTACCAGAAAGGTGGCACAGAGAAGTCCAAGGGCATCAAATGCAGTATCAAAGCAAAGGCATTCGTGATGAATTCATCCTCAATCAGAAACTATGGCTTTAAAAATCAAGTTTGAAGAAAGAAATGTAGGACCTTACATAGGGTCAATCCTGAGCCTCTGGTACTCTGGACTGTTGAACAGGATTAGTTCTAGACCCCAGACTTTCAAGGCATTGCTTATGACCTGTCAAAAGAAAACAGCAACTTTTCATGAGCTAAGTCTGCAAGAACACATTAAATAGCACGGCCACATTAATTTTGTAAGCAACTGTACTTCATCAACTTTGAGGAGGCTATTGTTTTTAAATTATGTCCCCATGAAACCTCACTAAACCCATAAATAATATATACATGTGAATTTAATTTTATTTCATTGCTACTTTTTAAAGATTTATTTTTTATTATTTTTATTTAAGCATATTAGTGTATCTGAGTGGCAATGAGAGAATTGTATGAGAGCCTGTGGAGGCCAGGAGAGGGTGTCACGTCCCATACACCGGAGTTACAGGCAGCTGTAAGCAGCCTGATGTGGCTGCGGGGAACGGAACCGGTCCTCTGAAAAGGGAAGCCATTTCTACAACCCCCTATACATCCATTTTTAAAAGACTGCTTTCTATATTAGGGTTCCGAGAAATGTCAGAAAAACCACACAATTCACAGGTAAAACTCTCTTAGGTATGCAGAAACACATTCCATCTGTGGGTTCTGTTTGTAAAACTGGTCCACTACATATACTCACCTGCAATGTCAGTGGCCAAAGGCATATAAAGTAAGTTCTCGCTAGAGATTTCAAAGAAAGTTTTGGAGATGGAGAGGTTTGTGGAGATAACTAAGTGGTCAACAGTGCAAACTGCTCTTACGGGACCATAGTTCAGTTCCCAGCACCCACGTGACAGGGCTAACAACTACCCATAATTTCAGCTCCACGTCTCCAATGCCCTCTTCTGGCCTGCACAAACAAAGTACTCATGTGCACATACCCACACATAGACGAACACAATATTTAAAATAAAAGTAAATATTTAAAAAGAAGGTTTGATATATTTTAGACTTTGGGTAATGAACAAAAAGTCAAACCTGGTTATTGCTAACTGAAATAAGGAGAGAAATTTCAGAAAATGCTCTGTCTGCCCAGGTGGGCAACAAAGAAACAAGCACACTGTGTAGTAACTCAAGCCAAACCCAAGCGCAAGGGAGCAGCGAGTGTGAGCAGTGCCACACATACAGGAGATGGCAGGGGCTGTGCCACCTCTCACCTTTGACCTATGCCAATGGCAACTGAAGCATTGGGTGGTAGTGCTACAGAGTGAGGACTCTTGCAGAACTAGATCTCTCAAAAGAGATTCTGAAAGAACTTGGACAACCCTCATATCGTTTGTTTGTTTGTTTTTCGAGACAGGGTTTCTTTTTGCAGCCTTGGCTATCCTGGAACTAGCTCTGTAGACCAGGCTGACCTCGAACTCTGCCTGCCTCTGCCTCCCAAGTGCAGGGATCAAAGGCGTGCACCATCAACGCCAAGCTCAACCCTCAGATCATTAGAATGGAAGATCCATAGATAAAAGAACCCTACAAGTATATGAATTAAGTTAGGCATGGTGGTCCCTGATTGCAATCCCAGCAAAACAGGCCAAACAGAAATTTGGGAAGTTCAAGACCAGGCTGGCTACAAAGCAATACCTTATCTATAAAAGCAAAACAAACAAACATATATAAATAAATAACCTCAGGCCTAGAGGTTTTCTCTAGGGAAGAATACTTCTTCAGTGGGTAAAAAGACATTAAACATCATCCCTAGAACTATAAAAATAAACCACCACAGAATTAAAATGGGTCCTAATGGGAAGTGGCTCAGTGGTAGACTGAGCATCTGTGAGGCCTTGGAGCCAATCCTAATCACACCCTCCAAATGGACCACAAATTCAAAGAGACCCTGTCTCAAAACAAAACAAAACAAACAAAAAAAAGGGCTACAAATTACCACACAGATCAGAAGCACGGAGGTAATGTAGGAACCCAGTCCCGTAGGATGATTCGAACAGAAGGCTGCAAGCCACTGCAATTTCTCAGACAGATCAGAGATAGTAAGTTTGAAGCACTGTAATTTATTAGAATTGAAGTTATGAGCACCTACATGCAAAGTAAGCAATCTCTCTCAGAAAGTAATTTTTAAAGGCCCTGTTCTAAATCAAGTATGGTAGCACACGCCTATAAATTCCAGTCTGGAGACACAGATGGGAAGATGAACCCAAGTCCCAGACCAGCCAGGACTACACAGTGAGACCCTGCCTGTTCTAAGCAAGCAAGCGACCAAAGCCCTGTTCTAAATGCAGAGTCTACAGTCCTCTATGCTCATCTCTCTATGTGTAGCACTCCAGAGAGCTGTCTTATATTCTCCAGACAGTTTACCAAGGGAACTCCTGAAGGCTCCATCATTACATACAAAGCTGTGCCAGGCTGTGCCACATCAACCACAAACTGAGCGTGAGCACAGCAGCGCTGAAAATGAGGCAGATTTCACACACTCTGGACCACTTACTTGAATAGAGAAAAAGCCACTGTCGTCCATGTTCCCAGAAGGCTGCTGTTCAATTTTCATGGGCAGTTGTGGGCAGAGAGGGATGGGAAAAGGATTAAAAACTGTCATTAGTGTGCGCATTTACAAGAACACACTGCACAGTCCCATTTACCAAGTGAAGAGCAGAGTTATAATTAACAAGTCAGACTCCGATGGAGAATGGCTCATCCTCCTTTAAAGAACACCCATGTGTTAAAAAAAAAAAATGGGATTTGGTGAGTCTGAAACAAGTACCTGTAAAAATGTGCGATAGTCTTCACTAGTAACTCCTCCTTCCGCCATCCTCATCCTTTCTTCTTCATCTAGCTGGTGTGCGATTGAAGATAACTCCACAGGGCTAAAATACTCCCCTTGCAATAGATTATTCAGGCAATGCTGAGCACAAAGTGAGCCTTCTTGCTAGTGTTTCCAAAAGAATAAATTGAAATGTGATTTATTAAGCAGATCTATACAGTATCTTCTAAAAAATGTAATTATAACTTTTTAATACAGTCAAACATTATTAGCCTTAGACAAACCTGATTTTACAGGTATATGCATTTGCATTTGTCCACACTTATTTTACAGCTATTTAACTACAGGAACAAAAATGAAGAACGATTTACAGTATAACTTTATCTATCCTATCTCATATAAGCCTAAAAGTGACCCTATAAAAATATTTAGCCTTAGCTGGGCATCAGTGGCTCACACCTTTAATCCCAGCACTCGGGAGGCAGGTGGATCTCTGTGAGTTGGAGGCCAGCCTAGTCTAGAGTTCGAGGACAGCCATACAGAGAAACCCTGTCTGGAAAAAAAAAAACAAAACAAAACAAAACAAACAAAAATCACCAAAAACATTTAGACTTTTGAATGTTTCAATACCTACAAGAATTCATTTTTGGAGATTCCATGACAAATTACTACTGCAAAAAGGGAGTGTTATCTCCTAAAACATTCATTCTTCTAACCAGTTAGTTGCTATGTGACCTTAAAAGCCTGTCCTTTCAAACTCAGAACTGTGTTAAGTGGGAACAATTCTGGAAGCTCCAGAGCTGAGGCTCTCCATCAGTTGACTTTGCAGACTCATTCCATGTAACATATAGGAAAGAGAACTGTCCCAAGCTGATGACAGTCCATGCCCTTGAGTGGACAAACTAGCAAGAGGAACTACAGCCAAGTTCAGCTCCCTAAGAGGTCCTTAGCATCCTCTCATGAAGGGTGGGTGTAACATCCCACAAGCCCAGTGGCTTCTAGTGCTGGTTAGCTGGCTTTCACACACAACTGGAACACAACTGACCAAATCCAGTGAGCTGACACTGAGCAGCCTTCTGTCACTCTCCTAGTCCTAACAATGCTGCTTTCCTAAGCTATAGGTAAAGAGTAGATGAGACCAGTCTACACAGACCCTAAGTCTGCCTTTCTGGGAGGCAACGGCAAAGGAAAGAACACTTCCTCCGTTAACTCTGGCTCTCTAAGGGCCAACAAGACATACTGGACTCAACCTGCCAGGCATCATACCCCCTGGTCTGAGCTATGTTACATGTCAGATGATGACTCTCAAAGAGCACCATACAGGATGCATTTTCTCCCTGATGAATCAAGGTTATAGGAAGAAAATTAAATAGAGTACACATATCTGTCATGGAACAGGAAGGCAGAGTTCAGAGAGCTTGCATCTAACACAGAGCTAGAACAAGCTTATGTTCATAGTCTGCCAAAGAATGTTGCCCAGAGTGGCTTGGAGCTAGTTAAGTATCCCTTCAAGTTGCAGTCACGTGGTAACAGAATTCTTGGTCTCTGCCTCTTTTTCCTCCTATTGGCCATCTACTGCTAGGAGCAATGTCCATTGAATACCGCCTACTATGAAGAAGAGAGGCATACAGATGTTCCACTTATAGCCTACTGGAAATTCAAGCATTTCACAAGATAGTCAAGAGGCTAAAAGCATACAAAAAGATCTCAACTTCTTTAGTCCCCAGGGAAATGTATTTCAAAACCGTAACACAGGGCAAGAGATGGCTTAGGTAAAGGTGCCTGCTGTCAATCCCGATACTACTGCAGAAAGACAGAATGACTCCTGGGTACTTGCCCTCTGACCTCCACATGCACACCTGGCCATCTGCATGCCAGCACTAGCATGCATGTCACACACAAACAATAAAAAATTATCTTTAAATATTATACTTATTGATTGATTGGCTGGAGGGGATGCAGAGGACAACTTGAAAAATTCAATTTTCTCCTTGCACAATTTGAGTCCCAAGGATCAAACTCAGGTTATAAGGCTTGGCGGTAAGTGCTTTACTTGCTGAGCTATCTTTCCAGGCCATAAAAAAATGTTTTTGTTTTTCAGACAAGGTCTCACTTTGTAGCCCTGGCTGGCCTGGAACCCACTATGTAAACCAAGCTAGCCTCAACTCATAGAAATCTGTTTGCCTCTGACTCCAAGTAATAGGATTAAAGGCATGCACCACCACACCTAGCTAAAAATTGTATTTTTATAAAAGAAAATTCACAATGTGATACTACTATCCAGTCTCTGGGTCAGCTATTACTGTGGAGAGGTTTAGAATTACAGGAAATTGTTGTCACAGGAGTGAGTATAACCTCAAGAAAGCACTCTCCAGCAACCTTTATCTTTACCAGAGCTCCATCCATGTGCCCTGTGGTTACACACAAACACTGCAAACGCACTCACCAAAGCAATACGTGTACGCTTCCAAACTGGAAAGCACCCAAAGACAGTTTAGGTCACAGAACTGTATTTATAAAAAACAAACAAACAAACAAACAAAACAGTGTATAAGAATAACAGTAAATTAAATACAAGTAACTGCAAAGAAAAACAAAACAAACAAACAACACTAAAAAAAGTAGACACCAGAGCTAAGGATGTAGCTAGTGTGTGCTAGCCCCTGGGTTCGATCCCCACCACCACCAAAGACAGCAAAAGTACAGGTGCAGAAGAAGCCCAAGTTCCATCCCTGGAACCTATTTAAAGTGGAAGAGAACAGCCCACAAAGTTTTCCTCTGATCTCTCTCCTCTGTACATGTGCCCATCCATACAACAGATCATGTAGAGACACACAATAGTAATAAATTAAAAATTAAAGGAGCTACAAATAGACAAAATTAATCTCTTAGTCTACACAATGGTAGAGTTAAGCAAGCACTGGAATGGCTGGCCCTCCTCTAAGGGGACTTAGGAGGCAGGGAAATAGTCTGGGATTTCATCTTAGGGCTGTTTCCATGTGTGCTTCCTTGTCTGCATACTCCCATGACTCCTGTGTTCTTATGTATGACATACTTAATTTAAAACATTCAGACAAGGTCAGGTGTTGGTGGCACATACCAGGGATGTTCTGCACACCTTTGATCCCAACACTCAGGAGGCAGGGATGTCTATGAGTTCAAGGCTAGCCTAGTCTACAGAGCAAGTTCCAGGACAATCAGGGCTACATGGAGAAACACTATCTCATAAAACAGACAAACAAAAAACCAGAACAAACAAAAACACTCAGACAAGAAGGCCAGGCATGGCAGTGCATACCTTTAATTAATCCCAGCACGCAGGAGGCAGAGACAGGTGTATCTCTGTGAGTTCCCGGCCAGTCCCCTACATAGTGAGATCCCATCTCAAAAAGAAAAGAAAAGAAATCAAGACATATCTAACACGACAACCAGGCACTCAAGTTGGGGAAGTGGCTGTGATGCAATCTTCAGTCCTACAGCTAGGCAACACGCTTCAGTGCAGGGTTCTTAAACTACAGTCTCCATGTTTTTTAAAGATCTTTTTATTTTTGTGTGTAGGTGTTTTGCCTGCATGTATGGCTGTATCATGTATGTACATGTCTGGCGTTCGTGAAGACCAGAAGAGGTTGGCTCTTCTGAGACTAGAGTTGCAGAGGGTTGAGTCATCATCATATGGGCACTGAAAATCCTGAGCCATTGCCCCAGGCCCCTGTTAACCATTTAATATATAGAAATAGCAACATCCAAAATGTTGCTAAAACATTCTTGCCATTAAAGATTGGGATTTTGGAGGCAGGAGGCAGGAGAAAAGGCTCAGCAGGTAAAACCACTTGCCATTATTGCAGAGGATTTGGGTTTGGTTCCTAGCATCTACAAGGGAACTCATGACCAGCTGTAATTCCAGTCCTAAGGGACCTGATGCCCTTTCCTGGCCTCCTCAGTCACAGTATGCACATGGTGCACTCTGATTCATGTAGACACTCATACACATAAAACAGAAATGATAAAATTGTTTAAAAAAAACCCCCAAAGGTATGTGTCTCATTATGCCAAATTTATGTGGTATTGAGGATAGATAAAACTCAAGCGTGACTTACATTCCCATTCCCTAAAAAATTTAAAAATAAGCACTTAAAATCAAACCTTGACCAAGTAAAATAATACTGCTACCAGAAATATGCTCTATAATTCTAATATGATTAATGGAATGAAAAAACAAATTGTTCAAATCAATTTAAAAATTACATTGCCCACAGACTGGTGAAATTTTACATGAACCAAAAAAATTCATTATCTCCACCTCTGACCATGCATTTTTCTGTCTTGTTGCCACTGCCCAAGTTAGTCTGCTACCTCTTTGCAATCAGGGTTTTACCCAAGTGGAGAGTTGGCAAGATGGCTCAACAGGCAAATGTCTGTTTGCTGTGATCATCAAGCCTGGAGTTCAAATCCCAGGACCCACATAGTGGGAGGAGAGGACATCCCACCAAATTGCTCTCTGACTGCCACATGTACACTGTAGCACGCATGGAACACCATGATACATACAATGCAATAAAATGTAATGAAACATTTTTAAGTATTTCACCCAAGTAGAAGAGAAATTCACTTTGCTACTAAAGTTCTATGAATTGGGGTCCATATTTTAATGTGTTGGGCCCAGAAGATGAACACACTACACTTGCACTTTTACCAAAATAGTCTATAAAATCACAGAAGGGAACTGTAACCAAGCCACACCCAGGTTTTTGTGTCCAACCTGAAACTAGGTAAGCCCCATGACAGTATTAACTATAAAACAGATACAACCCTAATGATGTGACTCAGAGCTCAAATCACAGTCACAACGCTTACCGTTACCACCTCTTTCATGCAGTGTGCTCCTATTCCTTCATTTTTGTTTTAAGCTGGAGCCTGGCCCCTTGCCCATGTTAAGTGCTCCACCACTGAGCTACACCCCCAGACCTCTTCTGCCCCTTATTTAGTATGAGGCTCAGCAAACACAGGCAGTAGCCACCATTTCTGCAATGCTGACTTCTGGACATCTTCTTAGCATGCATGACTCTGAGGCAGCCTATTTGTGTCATCAACTACAGAGGCAAAAAAAAAAAAAAGAAAACCTCAGAGGTAATGAGGAACTTATCCAGAATCCTACAAGCAGAGCTGGAGTTCAAACCCAGGCAGAAGTCTCAAAATCTGTGCTGTTACCATTCCTGAAATCAATTGTTTGGAATTAGGCTTTCCCTGACCCCCTCCCCATAGCCTTACTAAGAGCTGGCAATCACAAAAGGGCACAACAGATGGAACAAGGTCAACTCTCAGCATCTTCTGTCTTCTTGCACTTCACAATCCCAGTTCATATTACATTCAAAGTACAGATACAGACGGCACCAAATGTGCCAATGATGTGAGCACTAACAAAGGTGGCAGAATACAAGCACCAGAGTAAGAGAGACAGTGAAACAACCCACCCAAGAGAGCATCTGGCATCGATGATTTAGTATTGGCAAACTCTATAGCTCATAGGCCCAAGCTCAATCTTCCACAAAGCTAAAAACTGCATTTTATTAATAAAAAAAAATTTGACAGTTTGATGAATAGAAATGTACTCACATAAATGAGACTTTGTGACACAGATATACATATATGGCCTGCAAAGGCTTAAATTATTTAGAGGCTAGGTATGGTGGTGTGTGACCTGAATCCTAACACTTGGGAGGGAGAGGCAGATGGGTCTTTGTGAGTTCAAGACAAGCCTGGTCTACAAAACAAGTTCCAGGCTAGCCAGAACTACACCATGGACCCTGTCTTAAAATAAAATTACAGAAAACTCGTATCCTTTAAATAAATAGAACCCCATACCTTTTAGAGCAGTGGCTCTCAACCTTCCTAATGCTGCAACCCCTTAACACAGTTCCTCCCCAAACCACAAAATTATGTTTGCTGCTGCTTCATAACTGGAATTTGCTACTATTATGCATCATAATGCAAATATCTAATACACAAATGGTCTTAGGTGACCCCTGTGAAAGCATCACTGGACCTCCAAAGGGTTATGACCCACAGGTTGAGAACCAGTGTTTCAGAAGCTCAAGGACCTCTTGCCTCCGCCCATATGCACCGGCTCTTTCTCAGGCCAGGAATTCTGGCGATCCTACTGTCTCAGCATACTGAACAGCTGAGATTATAGGCACAAACCATGTGCTTCACTCATAACATATTATTTCCAACTGGAGATCTACCAATGGACAACTACTTTCATTTATTTATTTTTGTTTTGTGTTTTGGGACAGGATCTCTCTACCTAGCCCTGACTGTACTTGAACTCACTGTATAAACAGGCTGGCCTTGAACTCACAGAGATCTGCCTGCTTCTACCTCCCAAGGGATGAGATTAAAGGCTTGTACCACCACCACGCCTGGCTGACTTTTTATATTCTAAATTAATAATAAATAATCAAAGGGGCAAGTGTAAAAGTAATACCTAGAAGTGGTTGAAGTTGTCTCTAGATGATTCTCTGACTAAAGGCAAATTATGGACGGGAAAAGAATTCTCTGGAAAATAGCATGTACATTCAAATATTCCCAGAATGGCCTCTTATAAGATGAGTAACCTATAGTTGCAGGTGTATCTCTTGAAATATGCTATGGCTTTACTAAACGTTCATTTGCTAAGTTGATTTATTTGCTAAGTTGATGAGAAAAGCAAATGTACTATTTAGGACTGGGGACAGTAAGGTACTTGTCAAACTAGCATTAGGATCTGAGTTCAAGCCCCAGAAGCCTCATTTAAAAAGCCAAGCACTGTGGTACCCACTTGTAACTGCAGTCAGGGCTGGGGAAGTGGAAATGGGAGGACACCTGGGACTAAACAGTTTGGCAAAGTTCCAGCCCATTGAGGAACACCACCAAGGTTGACATCTACATGCACATGTACACATGTGCACCCCAACTCATGTTCAAATGTACACACACACACACACACACACACACACACACACGATAAATTTACTTCTCAAGTATTTAAGTGTATAAAACAGCTGATAACTGAGTGACTCCTGGATGAGCAAGGTTTATGTGTGTGTGTACACACGAATGTTTGTATATGTGTTCCTGTGTACGTGTTTGCATGCAGATCCTCCAGTACTGGAAATATAGACACACACATACTGCCCTGTCTGGCATTACTTGGTTGCTGGGGATATGAACTGAGTTCTTCATGCTTACACAGCAAGCACTTTACCAGCCTGAGTACATTTTTATAGGCTAGCACTTTGGATATAATGGTTCAGTAGTTACCTTCACTGAAATCAGCTCAAAGGAGAAACAATCAATATTGTAAAGAAGGGACTGTGTGTGTGTGTGGGGGGGGGGTGCTCAACAGTTAAGAGCATTCCCAGAGAACTCAGGCTCAATTCCTAACACCCATGTTACTGCTCACAACCCTCTGCAACTCCAGTTCCAGGGGATCGGCTGACTTCAGTGGGCACCATAAGCACACAGTACACAAAAACAAAACAGCCATACAAAAATATTTTTTAATGCATTAAGTGCCCCAGAGATGATGTGTAGACAATCTAGCTGTGAAAGCCCAAGTCAGATCCCTGAAACCCACATTTTCCTGCAAGGAGAGAATAGACTTTATAAAGTTGTCCTGACCTCAGCAGCACACACACATACATACATGACAGTAATAAAATGATTTTTAAAAGAATGGCAGGAGTCTCATGAAGCAGTGTATAAAGTGTTCAAAGTCTACCACATTTCAAATGGGTTCTATGGCAAAGCCTTTGGGAAAGTAATTACAAATGTATAGGGGATGGAGGTATGCTAGGAGTCATGGCACACAGCTGTAATCCCAGCGCTCAGGAGGCAGAGACAGGAGGATGGGAAGGATGGAAAGTCTGGAGCCAGTTTGGACTACAAGAGATCTTGTCCCAAACTAACTTGTTCCAGTTCCAAAACATTCAGAAATGTCTTCTCAAGAGCACTTCATTTAACGATGTCTTAGATTTACATCACTTTTGTTTTTCCTTTGTGATGCATAAACGATGCATACCTTGAATAAAAGCTCATGTTCAAGTACTCAATAAAACAAAGACCTTTTGCTCCTAGTAAACAATAGCCTCAACTAGCAACCCTCTCCTAACCTAACGATTATGAAACATGGTGTCATATGCCAAAGTTGTGTGAGGAACACCCAAATGACTTAATAATTGTATGCGAGCAAAGACCAGTTTCTCAAGGTGTCACGATACTTCAAAGCGTAGTTACTTAGGAATGAAGGCGAGGAAGAGACTAACCGGATCATACAGCAGAAAGATTCTAATCTATTCCATAATAGCTAAAAAAACAAAGCTGGCCTTCTAGTCCGGAAAGAAGGGTTAGCAAACCAAACCCAAACATCCCGTAATAAAAACTGTTATGACGACTTCCCTTAGGGACTCCGGGGTTTCCTACTTTACTTCCTAAGTGGCAGGCCTTTCAATGGGAGAGCCACGGTAACACCCGCAGAAGGCCGTGGGAAAAGTTGATTCTGTCAGAGGATAGGTCAGGGGGCGTGGGTGGAGTTGGGAAGGGTCCACCAGGTGTGGAGATGCGGCTCGCTAGACTAGACCCGACCAGAGGAAACCAGAAAAGGCGTGGCAAGTGAAGAAGGAACGCCCGCGCTAACCCTCCGGGTGAAGCCCCCGAAATGCCCGACGAGCCCTGGTGACCCGCCCGGTCCTCTGGGGCGAGGACGCGGGGGGCGCATGCGGGAGGCTTCCCGAGCGGGGCCACCGGGAGGAGGCAGGAAGCGCCCCTCACCCAGCCAGGTCGGTATGGGGGCGCTCAGGCCCCGCCCTGAGTTCCTGAGACGGCGACGCTGCTCCCCACGCCCGCCGCCGAGCCCCGGCCGGCTCCCCACCGAACGCCCACACTCACTTTCTCGTGGAAGATGGACTCCATGTTTATTTGTCTGGAGCCAACGGCCCCGGCGCGGAGCAGCCCCCTCCAGCAGCTCCGCCCCCGGCCCCACCCCTCCGTCCCGCCCCGCCCCGCTCTGCCCACGTGTCCCCAGCCAACCAATCACAACAGCGGGCGCGCGTCACGCGGCGCGCGGGGCCAGGGAGCGCGGGCCACGTGACCTGGGCGGCGGGTCCTGGGGCGTCCGTTCTCCTGCGGCGTCGGCGGTGCTGCGGCGCCGCCTGTCGTGCGGAGGAGCTTGGCTCCGTGCTTGGCTGGACCCTTGTGATTCTAGGGTTCTAGGTGATCCTCGTGGCCAGGTTTTACGTCTTTCTTTTTTTCCATCTTCTTTGGTACTTTCTGCTTAACTGCTTGTCATGAATACCTCTTCTCCCAACTGAAAACCTCTGTCAAGAAAAGGTATTCTCTCAATACCCGTACTTGTGTTGAAAAATATTTAGTTAGGGCTGACTTGTAGCCGGCTTCTAAGTGTAGGTTGGTACGGCATCTTTGGATGTGTGTGTCTGCTGTAATATTATACAAATGAGGAAACGGAGGCACAAAGAAATTAGGGGAAGCACAGTGTCCAGGATAGTTCTGCCTGTTGGGATGACTATCAGGTCACGGGGTAAGTGCTCTCGCTCTGAAGGAGGAAGCGTCGTTGGGGAAGTGAAAAAGCCAACACCCTGTTGAGAGGCGCTTGCCTGCATTGGAGGCAGCGTTGGGGAGTGGTGTGATTGATGAGTATTAAGCATAGAATGGACCCACATCTTGCACGTGAAACCATTTTAGGTTCTTTAAAGTCAGCAAGGAAACTGGGTACGAAGGTTCATTCTTAAAACCCTTGTACCTGGAGTACACTGAGTTGGAGGATAGCTAGGATATGCCAGCCTGTAACCCGGTTACATAGGGTGACCCTTCCTCGCTCCCACCAGAAAGAAAGCAGTGACAAGCAGTTCAAGATTTTAAAACAATAGTGATATGGAGTCAAATTAGCAATTAGAGGATCACCGAGGAACAGAATACTTGAAGGCGTTTTTGGGAGAAATGAGATGATAGTAGTCATTAGTTAGTCGTTAGTATTTTGAGGATGGAGAAAGACCAGTTTGAAGCCTTAGGAGCACACCCAAAAGAATCCAGTGGGAAAGGGGGTGTTGTTAAGAAGGACTTCTGGGTTTCTGCTGTAAGCACTGCCAGCAGCAGGAGTAATACTCCTATAGAAACACTTTGCAGAATGAATAAGGCCTTGGGAAGAGAAGACGGAGGTTTAATTTGGGGAATAATGAATTTAAATGCCTATGCAGCATCCAGGTGCTTTGTTGAGTAGTAGACATCAAGCCTAGAGTTTATAGAAGCTGGTTTGAGCAGGGGGGTGGGGTTATTTGCTATTTAAAAGGGCTGGAGAGATGGTTCCACGGTTAGGGACACTTGCTTCTCTTGTAGAGCCCCTGGGTTTGATTCTCAGCACCCACTTGGAGGCTCACAACAGCCTGCCCAGATCCAAGGAATCCATTGCTTCTGCAGGCACTAGGTATGCAGTGATGCACATGCATACATGCAGGCAAGCACCCATACATGTAAAGTACAAATACATAAAGAAAAAAAATTTAAAACACGGGAAGCTAGCTGGGCATGGTGGCTCATGCCTGCAGTCCCAGCACTCAGGAGGCAGAGGCAGGTGGATCTGCATTGAGTTTGAGGCCAGCCGGGCCTGCAAAGCGAGTTCCAGAACAGTCAGGGTTACATAGAGAAGCCCTGTCTCAATGTAGAGAAAAGAAGAGATTGAGAAAAGTATGTAGAGCCAAGCCCTGAAGATAGAAAGCAGTAGGCAAGAAGAATGCACAATGCTGGTGAATGCAATGAAATGGAAGGTCCCAAAGAGAATGCCTCAAGGACCAGTCAGTGTTAGATGCTGCCAGGAAGTTCAGGGTCATAAACACTTTCAGGAGACTGCTCAGTTTTGTTTCTATTGAGATCATTCTTGTGAGAGTACATGTTCAAGAAAAGAAGGGAAATGAGAGGTAAGGAAATGGAGACTTCCAGTGAAGACCAGCTAGCGCTCAAGGGGAGGTGCCATATTATTTGTGTGTGCCATTTCCTCTTTCAATAAAACAAAGGTAAAGCTGTCCATAGTGGAGGGAAGCTCCATGTCTAAGGACAGGGAAAACTTTCCCTTTTACAGAGGGGCATCTTAAGCTCAGAAAGTGAACAAATCAGAGGCTTCTAGAAGCTCCTGAAACTGATCAGATTCACTAGGTGTTTCCCTCTGCAAGCATATATAAGCAGTAAGGACTACTAGGAGACACTCTAAGACAAGCAGAGTTGCCTAGCAGAGGCTCACATCAACTGGCCTGGCTGAAAGGAGCAGAGACCTGCTAAACTGCCTGTAAGGGACTCTCCAAACTGTTGAGTTTCCCGATTGTGCAGTGCAGCCCACATTTCCAGCTTTCATGAGCTGTCATCGTGCTTGAGTGGGCTTTTAGCAATGCGGTTGTCTTTGAGTCGTTTCTGGACTTCTGTCAGTAATCTCAATAAAACTCATTGGTTCACCAAGTTGGACTTTGGTGGTATCCTTACTTTGGTCTGTCCTCAGGTCTCTGAGATGAGTAGATGTTCACAGCTCCCCAGGAATAATGTCACACAACATGAGCATACCCTATGTGCTTAAGGAATTGTGGCTTAACCAGGAAAATACAGCATCCTGATAAGAAAATGCAAATTATGTTTTCTAGTTTGTATTTTTAAGATTCAATTGTCCAAGTGAATAAATGAAGCTGGACTGCTTGGGTAAATTACCATCAGAGATTTACTGATCAGTTTTGGAGGCTAGAGCAGACCAGATGTCTTGGGTTTTATGTTTTTCATTGATGGTGTCTTGTGTGTATCTTCATGTGGCAGAGAAGCAAAGGGGACAAACAAGCTCCCTTCAGTCTCCTTTATCAAGACATTTTGCTATTTAATAGGTAACTAAAGGGAGGGCTGGAGAGATGGCTCCATGGTTAAGAGCCCTTGTTTCTGTTATAGAAGAAAGCTCTACTCTCATGACCAGGACACACAGCCAAAATCCCTCCTCATAATCCTAATCCATCTTTCAACATGGGGACTGCAGAGGTGACATGATCCAGGTGACAGCACGGAGACCTGGGGACTCATCTGTGACCCCTTCCCGTCACTGGTGCTTCACCCCTCATGGTCTTCGCATACTGCGCACCTCTCACGCCCTCTGCCCTTGTTCATGTTGCCACTGCTTGGTTCAGAGCATCTTGATCTCTTGTGTAGTCTAGTCCCTGGAACTATGAATTGATCCCGTCTTAGTGTGTCCAGTTCATGCCCTTGTCACTGACCTTTCAAAAGTACAGCTCTCACCAACTGTTCTTTTATTGAACAAATAGTTGCTGTGCCTGGCACAGAGACCACAACCATACAAAAGACAGTATCATTCCTTTTTTTTTTTTTTTCCAAATGGGGCTTCCAGGACAAATTGCTCTGGGCTTGCTATGCAACCCAGGATGACTGAACTTTTTCACCTCTTCCTGATAGCGCTGGACCACCATGCCCGGTTTATGTGGTGCTGGAAATAGAACCCAGGGATTTGTTCATGCTTGGTAAGCTCTCTACTTACCCATGTCACCTTAAATCTAAGGTAAGGAGATAGTCTCACATTGTCAGGTAAGTTTTACATCATATAAAGTTCAGCTGCTTCCCATTGTGCTTATTGTCCTTATTGCTGCCTTGAAACCACCCTTTGTGATGCTGCAACCTCGTGTCCCACTTTATCTTTCTGAATTCCTTTTCTTCAGTCATATAGCTTACTTGCTTTTGGAAAGTTCACAGGGAAAGCTGTGCTACCAGTACACCTTGTACAGGTATTTATGAAGTACCCACTATACCACACCAGGATGGTATTAAACATGCTATTAAATATGCTATTAAACATTTAGCTTCTGAATTCAAAAGAGCATGCTTATTTATTATTACAGGTTGGTGCAGAACAGTGAATAAATAGATTCTGTATTGAATGATTGATACAAAGAAAGCTTCACAATAATTTAGTGAGTTAAAAATGTTTTGCTGAATCAGGATAATCATGTAAGTCTGGAGAGGTGGCCCAGTGGTTAAGTACATTTATTTTCTTTGGGAGGACCTGCGTGGGTCCCGGAACCCACAAGGTGGCTCACAACTGTCTGTAACTCCAGGTGATCCAGTGCCCTCTTCTAACCTCCACAGGCACCAGGCAGGCTGCAAGTGGTGTACATGCAGAGAAAACACTCGTTAAAAAAAGAAAAAAAATGAATAAAACTAACTTTAAGAAATAAAAGAGGCCAGTTGTGGTGGCACACGCTGGTAGGATTTCCTGAAGAAATAAAAGAGAATAATCATGTACATACACTTTGGTATGCCCTTTGTTACTACAGACACCTCAACTTCAACCTTCACTGAGTTTGAATATCAAGTGAGACTATACAAAAGTATTTCCATCTTTAGTATTGTACCTTTTAACTGGCATTAATTTTATTGTCCCAGACCAAATGGTTTAATGTCTGCCATTTAAAATGTTACAGTGTTGTGTCTCTTGTATTCTGACAAGAATCAGTGGTAACTAGGTGCTAGACTCATAATCATATTTCTCCTAAATTTAGTTTTACCTAAAACAGAATCATGAAATGTAGATTCCAAGCAGGGACAGTTGAACTTGAGAATATGAATTATGAACCAATTCCATTTATTGTTTTCACGCTCTTACCCATTTTTTGCAGGGTTTTGTTGTTTAATACAGGAATAATAAAAAGTAGAAACAACCCAGCGTCTAACATCTGGTAAATGGATAAACAATGGAGTCCATCCATATGTGAGTATTTTCTCCAAAGAAGTGAACATTCCCTCCTGGAGAGAAAAATGAAGCCTATGCTAAGGAAGCTCATCAAACTCCAGAGAGAAAGTTTTCAAGATTCACCAGCCTTCCCCCAAGCTTCCATAAGCAATAAACAATCACCAGGGAGAAGACTCTCCTCAGTGGGCAGCTTTTGTGAGTTG